TTAAATAATGATGCCAAATAATCACGGTGCTAAAGAAACATTATGCTAATCGAAATTATGCCAAATAAAATTCTGCTATCTTAAAAGTATGCCATTGAAAATTCGGGTATATAAACATTCTACCAAACGATGATTATTTTTAACAATGTAGGTATGTATATGCCTTATAAATATTCGGTTAAAGAAGATTATGCCCAGTGAGTTATGCCAAATGAGTTTCTGCGTAAGCCTTTTTTTATTACTTTACAAGATTTTGTGTGTGGGCTAAGCAGTCAACAGAGAATAAGTAGGTAGATTGTTGCACAATCTCCAAGCTGCAACAAGATCTGTTTTATGCATCCCTCGAGAGTAAAGAAAACAAGCCGTGATTAACGGGACTACATAAGAAATAGCGGGATTTTCATAGAATCTGTAATAAAATGAACCTTCTATAGCTTTGACCAATATTTTTTCCTTGATAAATAATATAGATGTTAACTTGTTGTTTTTATTTTAAAAAGAATACGAATATTGTCTTCTGTGATTAACGAGATGAACGGAACGAAAATGTTTCAGAAGATGTTTTTTGCGCCATCTAGCGATCGGACGCGAGACTGTTTACTTACGTCGTTTTCCACAAAGCAGTTGGTTTTCTTTCAGCAAGTAAATATTTGTTGCTGTGGGAAACGGGACAGTGAAAAATCATAGAGGTCTAAAATAGCTAAAATAATGTTTTTTTAAGAGATATTCACATTATTTTAATGCATTATAAGTACGGCCATATTCGGTCCACGATAACCCTTTTAGATTTTTTCAGTGCAAAGTAGGTAGGTAGTAGTTAGGTAGGTAGGTAGCTTAAAAGTGAATCAGCAAATCGAACAGCGTTGAATAGAGCTCTTGGTTCGTGTGTCACCCTGTGCGTCCACGCGCACTGTGAGACCTCATGGTAATGTTTATGAATACGGATTTCGACATGCGGGCTGCTCGTATTACATTATTTCATTAAATTACATATAATAATATATTCGCGCCGAAATCCGTATCACAGGAAAAAGGTTACACGTGTTGTTCATTTCATGTTTCAGTAAACAATTCCAGTGTGTGTCTTTAAGCGTCAGCTTTAGTTACTTAAGCACAAAATAGATCTATAGAGTAAATCTGGAACGAAACGTTGTATTGAGCTTACAAAAACAAACTACCTACGAAACGTATGTGTCAAAAAACACTAATTCGAATTGCCCCTAAGAGTAGGTACTTTATAGAAATAAAAAATAACATATGTATGTAGTAAAAGCACTTGTAAAATTTATATACAGGGTGTCCCAAAAATAGAGTCAAGCCGAAGCCCAGAGGTAGAGCATCACTAGGGCTATCCGAATCACCCCCATGTATGTTCCGCGATTTTTTATGGTTTTCGAGTTATGTTTGTTTTAAAGGACAGTGCCAATCCATGTAATATGGAAGTTGGACCAAGTGCTGCCCAGAATGAAACTATAGTACATTTTGTTCCTCAGGCCAATATTAATTTGTAAACCGGAGCGCACTGAAATCTATCCCTGGAGTTAAGAGAAAAAAAGAGTTTTGTTTTGAATTATTTACATACAAAATATCATCGATGTATACCTACTACGCATAAGATTTGGCAATTTTGGCATTAAATAACACTCGCTATGTTCAACTTAACCATACTGCATCCGTACACCTTACTTTAGTACGACTTCGACATTATTTATAAGCGATCAAGCGCTGTTTCAGTAGTTTAGTTAGTTGACCGAAATTAATTATTTCCAAAATGGAGCAAGAAGTTTTAGCTTACAATAACTTCAATAATCGATTGTAATACACCAATAAATTGATTTTTCGCAAGGATAGAGAACTAAAACTTCTTGCTTCATTTTGGAAATAATGATTTCGGTCAACTAACTAAACTACTGAAACAGCGCTTGATCGCTTATAAAGAATGTCTATGTCGCACTAAAGTAAGGTGTACGGATGCAGTATGGTTAAGTTTAACATAGCGAGTGTTATTTAATGCCAAAATCACGAAATCTTATGCGTAGTACGTATATATCGATGATATTTTGTATGTAAATAATTCAAAACAAAACTCTTTTTTTCTCTTAACTCCAGGGATAGATTTCAGTGCGCTTCGGTTTACACATTAGTATTGGCCTGAGGAACAAAATGCACTATGGGTTGATTCTGGGCAGCACTTGGTCCAGACCCTGGCACTATCCTTTCTGTGCTTAGGCACTTTTTTGGCCACTGTGGCGCGAATAAATAAGGTACCTACATGCCTGATTTTTTTATTATTATTAGATGAATACTAGGCCTATCTGATTCAGAAGTATTATAATTCATAACACGAATGTAAACCAAAAAAGTTAAATTCTTATATGTTGTAAAAAAATGAAAAAAAAACCCTAGTGATGCCTTACTTACTGGGCTTCGGCTTGACACTATTTTTTGGGACACCCTGTATAAAGTGGCAGTGGGTGGGGCACATAGCTTGTAGAGCTGATGGCCGTTGGGGCAGAAAAGTTCCCCACTAGGTGAGCTGACAATCTGGTGAAGGTCGCTGGAAGAAGAAGGTTGGATAGTCTAGCTAGGTAAATAAAACGAATAAACAAAAAGTTTTAACTTGTCTGGGGGAAGTCTGGTTTTGCCAAATTTTAGATTGCTTTTATTTAGCTTAGAAGGAATTTTTGATATTATGAGTTATTTAATATAATTAACTTTCATTTTAGTTTGTTAATAATTATTGGTGTCTCGTGTTGTGTGTTATTTGGTATGTTTTTCTTCAGTGTAGGTAGTTCTTGAATAAAAAACTATACAAATTGATTTCATTATAATATACTTACTAGCTTTTGCCCACTGCTTCGCCCGCGTGAAACATACAAACTTCCAACCCCCGTTTTACCTACCCCTCAGGGTGGAAATCCGTTCTTATGATGTCTACACCCTATAAAGAACCTACCTGCCAAATTTCAAGTGTTTAGCTGTTAGTATACATAGTTTCTGAGATTTCGTGATATAAATCAGTGAGTGGTATTTCTCGTTTATTACTTACTCTACCTGCCTAATACGTATTATTTACGACTTTCAGAAATTGTTAGTCATATATTTTACTCGTTTTATCATGGTTTATTACACTTCTACATGAAAAAGTTATTTTAGAGTGGTGTAATAAATTAACATGATGAGAAAAAATCTCCTCTATAGGCTTTGTGTCTAAAGTTGAGTACTTACCTTCATTTACGACTTCGAGACGAGAAGTTGTTTTTTATATAAGGCGGCGATACACGTGCCAGTAAAACGGAAAAGTAGCTTGCATGCTTGTAAGCGATCTACGTGGATAAGTGCTGGCGAAATGTGGATGGATCCACTAGAATTCAATTTGCTTCATTGTGTCGCTTGTCGATTTTCTTTTTTATGGAAATAGAGCCACATTGTCCAACAAAAAAAAAAACTAATATTGTTGAACACTTGCTAGATACAGTGTGCTTACTAAGAGTTCAGATAAAGTAAGCTAGCGATTGCGTCATAAAATTCTATGACAATTTTAGTTCTTGAAAGTAGCTGCTTAGGGCGCTGTACAATCTGTCATACATTTAATGTGTTTTTTTACACAGTCGCTTGCGAGCACACCTAACGTAAACTCATGGTAAGTACACAGGTGTGCCCCAGCAAAGAATGACAGTAAACTGTTGGTGGCACGAGCAAGGAACTGGTATGCAAGTGTACCAGCTACTATGTGTATCGCCGCCCTTATGTTTTCAGCTAACGAAAAATGAGTTGTGTGCGTCACTTGACGCTCGTAAACAAACTTATTTGAAACTCTTTTGTACGTGTGCTCCCAGGCAAGTTATGTAAACCATACCAGACAAGTTTCACAAAACATGTCGACGTTGTCTGAAATTTTAGACATTTTCCTATCATAATAATATTATGTTTATCTAAATTTTACATGACTTGTAAATTCAGACTAGGGTGAAAAGCGCGCTACTTATTATTTTCCCTCAATGGTAGCTTAGGGTAGGAAAATCATTGCAGGTCTATTGTCCATATCTTCATCGAACTTTAGGACCTATGCCTGTAGATAAACGCCCACATTCACAAGCGATGCTTGCAAGTGAAGCGGCAAATCGAATGCACAGCGTTGAATGGAGCTAGAGCTCTGTGATTGGTTCGTGTGTCACCCTGTGCGTCCACGCGTACTGTATAAGACGTGTACGTTACTCCAGCATCTCATAGTAATATTTGTGAATAGGGGTGAAAATAGCACTCGATTCAGATTTTCGATTGTGAAGAATTCTGTAATGCATGAGATGATTTAGGTAAGTAAGCATTTTATCTGGGCTGTATAATACAGAAGTCTATCGGCATTTTCTTGCAAAATAGCATCTATCGCAAATATAATAATGCCACAATACGATGACATGGCATCCTTATACCTTAGATTGCATCTACTAAATGGTCAACAGTCTGTAAGCAAACGCCCATTATTTACCGCTAGACTAGTTTCTCCAGGACTATTCATTATCATGGACCCAGATAGGCTGATATATGAAGGTATTTGGCTCGACGAACACTCGGCATAATTATCTTAATTGACTCTTATGTTAATTTCTTATTACTTGTCACTTGTCAGAATGAATGCTGCTAGCATTTGTTACCTTGACATTCATTTGTTATTCCCACCTAAGTTAATAATTCTATGTATTGCAAAGTTGCGTGAGACAAATGAACATCGGGTTGGTAGAACGTCACTTGTTTTAATTGATGAAGTGGCAACAGATTGTTTCGATTTGGTTTTTCCGGTATCCATTTATTTTTAACCGACGACAAAAATGTTTCACAATCCGACAAAACATTTTCTGGCTCTATTTCATGGTTTTTATTGAAATCAATTTGATTGTAATAAGTATACACAGACAGACGCCACAAGTCTCCGCTAGGTAATGCTGAAAGTTTTGCCAAATAAAAAAATCAGGTAAGAAATAAATAACCAGAAAACCATATACAAATAAAACTTTATTTATCAAAAGATATGTACAACATTTATTTAAAACAGTACTGAGCATAGCCTTATGGAGATCGTTGAGGTGTCCACCGAAGAAAGACACTCACCGTACAAGAGAAACTTTGATGGATAACTGTTGAAGATTTCCTTAATTATAAACCTTATGACTAACTGACTAGACTTCAAAATTGTTGGGGTATTTCAGTGTCCCCAAGTATTCGGACAATGTTTACTCGTAGCAGATTATGGATTTGAAATAGCTCACTACAAAGTAACTAAGTATTTGCTAGTATGTGTACAAGTACATAAATGGAAACGGATACAATAAATTTGTTACGCGGTCATGAAAACGAGTGGCATAGTATAATTATTAGCTATTTAGATTCTATCTGTAAAACAATGTCACATTACTTAATAGGTAGGTTCGGTAAGGTTAAAACAGAAATAGTTATTTTTCCTCTTTAATTAAATGTTTCAAATATTTAAGTGTTCTTCCTCCAATTACTAATTAATTCATTGAAAAATAATAGACAGTTAAAAAATATAAATTACTACAATATAGAATGAAACAATACTTTAAAAAAATATTAATTTAGGCAAATTAATCAAAGAGAACTTTTGTATTGTAACTTATGTAGACTCCCATTAAGACGAATCCAATAAAATTCGTTTCGTTTAGAAAATTGCCCAGTGTCCATGATTACTTATTGATTTTAGAGTAATTATTATTAACGGGATTGCTACCAAGTACCTTGTTTACGAGCCTTCGATAAATAAGGTACATTAGCAATACTGTTAATAAATTACTGTAATGTTAGTGTCCATGAAAGTTTAAAACAATATAGGTACTTATTGATTTATTCTAATATCAGTTTGTTTTGACTTGAAATTTTTAGGATTACCTAAAATCCTCCAGTTTTGAATTATTAAATTCAAAACTGGAGGATTTTCGATGAAATTTTATTTACTTATAGGTATTTCACTATTGTAACTTCGGTTCAGTTTTCGGTTAGTTTTGCGTGGTAGTATAAAATATGGAATAATAATTATTATTCTAAAACTTCCAGACAGTAATAACAGACAGAAGAATAAATAGATCTATTTAGGCTATTTTATGTCTTAAAACTTACCCCTTTACTTAGAAAACCTGAAACAGTTTTGTAACACAGTTTTTGCTATTTAAAACATTGTTAACTTTCCTATCTAGGCTATTTAACATTTATGACTGAAAACTAAACCCTTTTAGCTAGAAAATCTAAAACAGTTCTGTAACTGTAACATGTAGGTAACTGTAACATTTGTATTTACAAAAAAAGTTTTTAAGTATGTTTATATCCGTTGTCTTAGTACCCAACCATAATACAAGCTTTGCTAAATTTGGGACTGGCAGCAGCGGACGTCATTTCGCTGAAACGAAAGAACGACAAAACATTTCATAGCACGCATTTCGACGCGGTACTCCGGCTTGAAGTTATAAGACATTATTTAGCTGAAATGCTTGATATTATTTTGTCGATTTTCAGAATAGAACCATGTTAAAAGTAATCTCAACTTTTAGGTACGATTAAGTTCAAAGAAATCGCATTAAATCAAATCTTACAATCGGTCTAGAGTTTATTGATATTATCAAGCGTTTAGCAATAAAAAGAAATTTTCAGTCGAAATTACTTTATGAGTTGTCATTTTTCTTTGATGTAACTAATGATTTAGGCGTTTTCTACGGCTAAGAATGGAACATTCTGATTCTTTGTATCATTTTTCTTTGTAGAAATAAAATAAGAAAAACTTGACGAAGCATTATTAGAAAACTCCTTGACAACATCTTAACTATTTATCGTTTTCATCATGAAATGTTCCTATGTTCCTTAAATTCATAATTAATTAACTATTATTTGGAAAACCAGGCTTCATTATTTTCTATCTGTACTTTATATGTACGTATTGTTCTTGAAATATTCTTCTTGATAAACATAGTATTTAATTCATTATGACTAACCCTTCCTCAAGATGAGGATCTCACAGTAAATATTGATTCTTCCGGATAATCCTTTTGAATGCCTCTTGACAAAGGATAGCGGCCTTAGCCGGCCCTGTGGGCGTATTTCCAAAGCAATATAGCTCTAATTGGCATGTAAATCGTGTACAAATTCTCTTCCATTTGGCCTAAATTATACTTATTATGCATGTTAAAACAATTAATGGTGTTTATGTTACGTGTTAATAAATCAGTCAATTCTTGTAATAAATGAAAACAAGGAAATATCTTGTCTGGATCTATCAACACAATATAGTGCCTGGTTAAGTGGATGATGATGAGAACGTAAGATAGTTTTGTTAATAATTTCGACATTAGGTTTTAGTAGGCTGTTTGTTTTTAATTAGTTTGGAGAAATGGTTATCACGAATGTTCCCATTTCCTTTTTTGAGATATTAGAAGTATCAAAATACCGTTTCTTCTGTTCACTAATAACAAATAACGTTATCGTATAACCCTCCGCTATCGCTTGCCAAACAAAATTAAACATTGATGCTCAAAACTTACAGCATAAACTTATTTTAACACCAATAGCATGAATAGACATTAAATTGTACTGGACACTCAAAACGCATAACCTAATCCTGGGCTAAGTATGGTTCACAAGAACTGTTGTAGAATGCTCGCGTGTTTCTCTTGTACAGACTTTCCTCATGGAACAGATGATTTTGCCCTGCAAACAGAAAACAACTAATTATTCAATCAGTAAAAATCAGAATTATCGCCTTGATAAGCTGAAACAGTTTTGATTTACTAAGTATATCTCAAATGTAGGCATGCGCCTAATCTTTTTGTATTTCTCAATTTTGCTTTACCTACTGCCAGTAAATTACTGGCCACTATAACTATTTAGAGAATTCATTTATTAACGACCATTAAGTTTTCATTTATTTTGTTTGGTGCGTAATAGTGTGCAATAGGCGAGTTTCCTAAAAAAAATTTTAGTCCGTCAAATATATTGGACACGTAAACGTAAGTACATTTTTATTTGTTAATCAAACAATAAGTAATTACGAAGATATGGTGCCTTGAAGATCTGCATGACGTCACAAAGTGCAACACTGATAAGCACTCCTTGACGTCACGTACCTCTTCTTTTACGTGCGTATTTTTAGTTAACACACGGGCTTTGAATTATCAAAGTCTTACCTATTAATCATCCCTATTTTAATTTAACTCAATGAAATAGCGCAGGGATAAACTATGTGCCAGAGCAGAGTTAACCTCTGATTTTTTCTAAATGATAAAACTAGGTACGCTATTAACGCGAATGGCGTAAAGTCATATTATGACTAGACCATTACTACGCTCCATTTAAATAAAAGATAGCTTCTCTCCGCCAATCGCGAGAGAAGAAATAGCGGGGAAAAGGTTATTAAGAAATACAAAAGTCACGTTCACTTTAATTAAATCCACAACGATTCTAATCTCGGCCAAATAAAACGTTATAAACTCTTTTTCGAATTTGTGATATCACAGAAAAGTATTTCTATTTTCTAGTTGTTAACGCGTTCCACGAATTTTTTTACAGTTTATGCAAAAGATGACGTCAACTTGTACTATTGCGACGGAATGACTTACGCCCGTATTCACAAACGATGCTTGCTCGAACGCACAGCGTTGAATAGAGCTCTGTGATTGGTTCGTGTGTCACCTTGTGCGTCCACCTGCACTGTGAGACCTCATAAGTACTAATGTTTGTAAATACGGGCGTAAGTATTCACTACTCATAGTCAAAATATTTCCAAAAAAATGGTACCAATAACCTCCCATACGTAGTCTTTGTGCATATTCAGTTTTTCACCGTGTCTGTGACCTGCATTTATTATTTGGGATGTGTACAATAGACTTCAATAGAGGATATAAACTAGATAATTATCATTTATATAGAGAAATTATGAAAAATGTGAATTGCTCTATCGACTTTATCTAGGTACGTCTACAATGAAAAAGACATAGAATCTTAGATATTTTGGGAGGTGTGAGCGACGGCTGTTTATACAGATTTGTTTATCAAACCAATCTCGATTATCGTAAACCTACGTGTTCTGGCTGCCCGAGTGGGAGTGGATGTGGGAATTTGTGAAAAACAAGAGTTACGCTGTCTGGTCAATACGAAATAGCAATATCACAGGCACTACAAGTATTACAAAATAATATGGCTTCAAAAAATTACAATATTTTGATGCAATACCACAACTTAATTAGATCATACAAAATATCATCGTCACATAAATGGTTAAAGTCACAAAATTCATACTGTTTCGCCTAAATCTAAAGGACTGTCACGCCTGGAGCTTGGTGCCGGCATGACGGCTTTGTTTCAAAGAATCATGTCGACGACTTGTAGGAAGTTTTAGGTACTTACTTTCTATCTATTTTGACAACACGGGTTTGGTGTTTAGACGCATTAGATTCCTAAGTCTTATCTTTTATAGCTCTCTATTATTTGAAAATGTTTTCAAATACTACAGTATTACTTTTATTAGACAATCCTATCTGAAAGATTCCACATTATTGCAGGAAACACAATGGAGACTAACTTAATTTTATTATCAAGTCTTGTTATGATCCCGGATACTTAAGTTTAACGCTCAAAATTCGATATTAGCTAGGACCACATGAGAGCCAAAACACACGACGCGTTGCGGCGCCGCACCTCAAAGATGGCGACGACGAGGTGCCGCACCGCTCGTGTGCCCGCCACAGTATTTCTATGTGATGACGCAGCGACACCGCTCCGGCGACGCACCGCCGCCGCAACGCATGCTTTGGCTCTTAGTTTCAACGCTCAAAATTCGATATCTGCTGCGATCACTTATTTCTCACGACTTCAAAGTTCCGACATCATAGTCATAAATGTCGCTATCTCATTACTATTAACTGCGAGAAGGTATGCGTAACTACGAGATTGGTGTTTGTGTAATAGCGCCGTAAATTTGTTAAAAAGTGAAGGTTGAACATAATACATTTTCTTAGAAGCAATATAATGGATGAGTGAACTAAGAACTTCTGATATTACAAAATAATTTATATTTAGCTAAAAGGAAACTCGGTCTGTACTTTGTGAAAACTAATCTTTTAAGTAATCAAATCGATACTTGTTAAGGTTACCGGTTACGTAAAGGTTCGGCTAAACCAACATGTGCAGCCTGCGTGCGCGATGGCGATCTTACTGATTTCTATACACTGGCGATCTATCTATCTACTACTCGTATGAGTAGTAGTAGTAGTAGTAGTAGCACCCAGTTAGCAAGTCTCATTATTCTGAACCTTTACCATTACAGTTCTTATTATTATAATATTGCATAACTAAAAAACCCACCCATTGAAGGTTCAAAAAAAACTTAGAAAGATTTTTTTATGTAAAATATACTTACGTGTTTTGACCGTCCGAGTGCGAGGCAGTTGGTGGCGGCCATTTGTGAAGATGCGCGCGCCACATCAGCTGCCCAAACGTCATCCTGAACTGTCGGGACATTGAGCAGTACAGCACGAAGTTGATCGCCCCGTTCAGAAGCGCCAGTGCATCCATCAGCTCCCCGAACAGATCGTAGCAACGCTTGAAGAAACATCGCCCGAGCAATCCGCTTAGAAGACCCAGTATCCCTTGAGGTAGCTCGGTTACCAGGAAGAGTAAAAGAACTGCAACCAACATCTTCGTCGTTCTATTCGTTCTTTTGTCTGCCTTGCATTGACGCTTCGCTGCTTTGTTCGTGGTTGGACAAGCATTGTATACTCTGACTTTTTTCTGGTGCTGATTCGCGCTGTACACTTCCCTGATCAGCCATAGACTGATGATGGTCAGAATGCAGCATGGCAGCAGTTTTATCAGCACTGCGTGCACCCAGAAGTTGATCTGGTACAGCTGGCCTTCCTGGTCAGCGTCCACGTGGTACAGGATCATAGGTCCACTTGGCTCCAGGATCACTGTGGTGTGGATGTCGAATACCTGTGGAAAAGAGATTATGTTAGGAATTGCAAACCTCTTGTAGGTATTCACTAAGGATCACCTTTAAGCCTGATCATTTATTTACCACACGAAAAAATGAAATAAATATTCCAAATTGAATCTTATTTAAGGTATATTTTAATTACGTTAGTTTGGAAGATATTTTTTATTATAATTAGGTACTAACTATGTAGAATGAACCCTTTCGAGTATTCTAACAAAAACAAACAAACATTCAGCAAAAACTACTTTTGATAGTAATAGAGTCGTGACTATCGAAGTGTGTGTGATTTAAACATAGATAAAAACCATAAAAAAGCAGAGCTCCCAATTTTCAGAAATATTATTTTGATTCCATATAAAATAAGACATGTGTGTGTAGGCATGTGTAGCAATCATCCGTAACAATGAAATGTTAAACGAACTGAAAATAAATTTCTACTCTCGCCCATATGGCAAAGTTATTCGATATCATTTATGTCAACCAAGAAGGCTTCATAAAAATAGTGAACATTATTCGTACAGCTTCTGCTCGCGGTTTTCACAACAGTCTATATGATTACATTTCGTTTACAAAATGGATAAAAGGTATATAGTTCAGTAGAATACTCGTAGATAACCTTGACGGATAGTATTCAATAGCTAGCAGTTGAACTTTCAAGTCCACGTGTCTATGTTATTTTTGTTTGTATCTTTATTATCTATTAAGATATGGGACTATTCCCACCTCTCGTTCCCACCGCTGCAACTCCTGTGTAGCCAATGAAGGTCAAGTTTGTCCCCGGAGAAGGTTGAACTGTCATTAGACCCGCAACGAAATTAATCAGAAGAACATAGGAGGAGTTCGAAGTTAAGGTTCGACTTCCCACCATTGCAACGTGGATATCAGGTTACAATTTTGCTTATTCAAAACTGCAATAACAAAAAAATATAAATCTTATTTTAGTGAAATCTATAAGCTAGAAAGGCGAAAAAGAATATTAAGAATATTAAATAAATGGCTTTCAACTACTTGCTAGGTAAATACATAAGGGTTATACAGAGTTAATAGATTCAGGGTTCGTAGGTAGGTACATCATTTTTTGCTGTTATTACCCCAGAGGTTTAGTCCTAACGTGCCCACAGAAAATCAAAGTCATGCTCTATAGCAGGATTTTACAAAGTGGGGTACGCATACCCCTATGGGTTCGCCATTCGACATCAGGGGGTTTGCGACAAGATTTACGCAATGGTGGCAGCTTGGAATTATGGTTAAAATTGTCCAAAATTGACTCCATTTGCGACAAAAAACACCCATCACATTAATATTATAAAGACATTCATTTGGTACCTTTCATTTTCTTTATAGAGAGGGTTTTGATTAGCTAATTAGGGGGTTTGCTATCGCCTGGAAACTTTTACCAGGGTCGTGGAGCGGAAAGTTTGGGAAACCCTCAAAACCCTCTATTCTATAGCTATAAGCATTAAGCTGAGCGGGAGATCTTTATTTGCACAGAATCTTTATGTGATGCTAGTAGTAGACCCTCCCGCGGATTTACAAAATCTTTTAATGCCCTGTTCTTTACGCAGGTTCAGCATGTAATTTCAGGCTATTACGGTACAAAAAATACAATCGTAAAATCTGAAACATCTTTCTCAATAAAATCTAAATAAGTAGATACATTTTCATATCTCGTAACTGGAGGTATTATAGGTTTCATTTTGTTTTCTTTATGTATAGAGATATAGGTACATTTGTACCGAAATTAATCGTAAGAGAGGTTTTTGCTTAAGTACTTAATACGTAAAAACACACACTATGGCTTTTTGAAATCATGATATTAACTAATAGTCCAGTCATTTAAGCTTAAATTAGGTAAGAATCTCGGAATTCGAGATACCCAGCTGTAAGTCTGTAAATACTTGTATATTGACACCCTAAAAGTTGTCTCAAAACCTACATATGGTAGGGTGTAAGCAACTATTAAATTTTAAGGTCAAAGGTAAAAAAAATCGGTTTTTTGCGCTTTTTTTGGAAATATCTCATTTCCTATGGGTTTTTTGCTATTTGTATTTATTATCAATATTGTAGAATACAAAACTCTCTACAAATTTTGTATAAAAAAATTTTTTATGTATAAAAAAAAATTACCGTTGACCGTATAAAAAAAATTTACCATATGTAGGTTTTGAGACAACTTTTAGGGTGTCAATATACACGTATTTACAGACTTACAGCTGGGTATCTCGAATTCCGAGGTGAACTTACTATAATGACTGGACTATAATAGGTACAGTTAGCGTCAAATAGTTCGACAACAAAAATTGACAACACAATTCACCTTAATCCAATCCAATAAAATAGACGTGTTGTGAACTTTTTGACGACTTTGGGTGTCACGAACTATTGACGCTGACTGTACTACTTTCAGTTTCATTCTGTTTACTTTTCTTTTACCGTACTGGTAAATTACAAGTCGGTTTATTATTCAAACCACAGTTCACCTTTTTGATAACTCTTCTCAGGTAGAGTTTTGTAGGGAATCCTTTAGGATTGTACATAAATACTTCCATCAACTCCTATCCTTCATTGTTGTGAATATTAAAAGGAAGCCTTAGTTTGTTTCAAAGCAAAAACTCGAAATTGTAATTACAACGTCAAAAATCCTACCGCGAAATTTTCTTTAACCAGTTCTGTGTGCCTACCATGAGTTTACGTTAAGTGTGCTCGCTAGCGACTGCGTAAAAAAAATGACATTTAAATGTATGACATATTGTGCTTATGTAATCTTCATAGAATCTTTTGACGTATTCGCTAGCGAGCTCACCTAACGTAAACTCATGGTAGGCACACTGGTTAGTTACTTCAGGGACAAATAAAATGATATGATACTTACGCCCGTATTCACAAACGATGCCTGCTTAAGTGAAGCAGCAAATCGAACGCACAGCGCTGAACAGAGCTCTGTGATTGGTTCGTATGTCACCCTGTGCGTGCATTCACGCGCACTGTAAGAACTATTTATTATTAATGTTTGTGAATACGGGCGTATTTTGGTCTGTGAAAGACATAAAAAAAATCTGTCAAGAATTTCTAGAGCTTAACTTTTCCCTTTTCCAAACAATTTTTAAAAAATTTACTACGCTTAATATAGAGGATGCACGCTACTTCGTTAGCCTGTGACATTTTGATGTACAATATAAATGCAATTTTACTGGAAAGCTTTTCAAACTTCGTTAAGTGCAGTTGAAAGATTTAAAAACATCCATTTCTCCTCACAAACTTTTTATTTTACGTTCTTAGAAATAAAGAGATTTCTCTAACGCAAATGAAACGAACGTTAAGCATGACGTTTGAACGTTTTCTTTCCTGTTTTTCTGCTCTGATTTGAAAAGATCAATTTTGACCCTATCACTTTAATGGAATATTAGAACAATTTACGTAATGCTCGGAAAATTCGGGGCCACTTTGAGTGGAAGAATCGTAAATAAATAATAAAACAGGATGTAAGGAGAGGTCAGCAAATAGTCTAATAATAAAAGTGTCATTTTATCAATTCGCCATCCTGAAACATAATTTACTTGCAATGAAGATCTAACTAATTTGAAAAAAAAAAGGTAATATTTCTAATAGATAAGTGAATTCACGTAGAGGTACGAATAATAATATAATGAATATTAATCGTAAAAGTTAGTAGTAAGTGCCTTGATCTTGTATTTAACAAATACACATGCACATAAAATGATTTATCGCGGTAAAATTGATTACAATTCACCAGATTTTTTAAAAGTTGTACTCACTTTCGTATCATTCTGTTCTGAAAGGGTTATCATACATAGACAAGCGTGCTCTAACAATTCGAAATATAATGCTTATTATGATTACAATTCACCAGATTTTTTAAATGTTGTACGCACTTTCGTATCATTCTGTCCTGAAAGGGTTATCATCTCAGACCATAGAAGGGTTCCCTTCTATGATCTGAGGTTATCATACGGTATAGAGAAGCGTGCTCTAACAATTTGAAATAGTATAATGCTTGTTTCGTTCATTAGTGGAATGCTTCGTGCTAATAATGAGCATGTGTATCTGTAGGTACCCTAAGTTTTTCTTTCAGCTACAAATCTGTAGTTAAAAATTAATTAAAAGCGAATGGACCAAATAATTGGCTTGACTTGATGAACATACTGAATACTGTCTCAACTTGGACCTTACCAACGAAGAGTTTATCTTGTATTTATAATTTCATTAAGTAGGTACCTATAGGTAAGTAGATACCTGGTAGGGTAAAAAGATTATGAGACATGTAAAGGCTCCTTAAGAGCAAAATGACGATTTGTAAGAACTATTTATTAGTCTAAACAAATAAAGAAATTTTGACTTTTGACTTTGACTTTATACCTACTTTGTTTGTATCTAACGGATTACGTTTCAGTCTTTCATTTTAAAAGCTCGACGGGGAACACGTGCCAGATGAGAGGTTTTGAAGAGGAGAAAAATTCATATTAATATTGGTAGTACTTAAATAGTATTTAACTATGTAAGCTAATAAGTTGTTTCTATTTTGAGGAATAAACGTCTTGAACCTTAAAATTTAAAGGGTCTGTGTAAAATTCTACATAATTATGTGTATTAACAGGTACTAAGTATTAACTACTATTTTATTCTACTATACATATCAAGTAGGCATTATTATTTATTATATGATGCCTATTACTTAATAATTTACCTCCCTAATAACGCGGGTGGTAACAAGTAGTAGGGCTTGCCAACATTTAGAGATATTATCTTTTACTCATTATTAATGAGTCGTATAAATGAACCCACCCCAGGCTTTTACTTGGATTAATATTGTAGTTTTATTGCAAAAGAATGCTTATAAGGTAGGTATTAAATGTTCTATACTAAAAACTAGCTGTGCCCGCGACTTCGTACGCGTGAAAATAGTTTGAATTATATTTCCCGTTTTTTGCAACATTTTTCATTACTGCTCCGCTTCTATTGGCAGTAGAGTGATGTTATACAGGATGGAATTTTGTAATGCCTCCTGGAGGGAAAGTACTCTTAATAATGTAAATAGAAAACTTTACTCAAAGAAAACATTCCTTTATATTCGAAAATTTTTCGAAAATTACCATACCATACAATTTTTCAATTCAATTCATAGAGATTTTATCCTTATACTTAACCCTAACGATCGATGTAATATAAATACAGGGTGTAATTTTTAACAGTTTTTACGTGGTTCGATTCCCGGGTGTGGCAAGCGAATTTTTGGAAATCTCTGAATGCAGTTCTATTTCTTTTCAAAAATAAACGAATGTTTTCTTTTCAAAAATTTTTCTATCTACAACATTAAGAGTTACCTACTTTCCCTCCAGGTGGCATTACAAAATTCCACCCTGTATAGCCTAAACCTTCCTATCCAACACAAAATATTTTTTCAAATAGGACCAAAGTTCCTGAGATTAACACGTTCAAGCAAACAAACTCTTCAACATTATAATATAAATAATAGTATACATAGAATAACTGTACCAAAACCAAATCATGTTTTTATTATGTAGGTAGGGAATTGTAAAGAAGTCACGTAAATTATGTTTGAGCCACGTACGTGGCTTGATACTCGACTTACAGTCACAATATTACGCTCTTTTGGTCTTACATATTATGTTTATCATAACATCAAAGACCTATGTTTATAGGTATACTTATTTATTTTCTTTATTAGGAAAACATACTTGTAAAGGTAATAAGATAAGTAGGTACTATACGATACGATGCTGCCAGAAAAGCTGTTCATAATTAAATTGCGTGGCTCCTAGGTGTACCTAAAACAACTTATAATAAAAAAACAGAAACGAACATTAATAATAAAAAAATTTAAGACCATAATATTAAATGATATGAGTTTCGTTGATAGATTACGGTCATTACGAGGCCACGGCACATTTAACTCTCGTTTGCTCTCAATTGACTAAATGAGCTGTGAAGAAATGACCGTACTTAGTGGGAAATTTTCTTAGCTCCGCACGACCTATCTATGTAGTTCCACGAATCTAGTACTTATGTAGTATTTGTAGGTTTATCTAATACTAGCTGACCCGGCGAACTTTGTTCCGCCTTAATGGCAATAAATAAGCAGACTTTTTTTTATTTCGAACGGGATAAAAAGTATCCTATGTCCTTCTCCTGGCTCTAAACTACCTCCCTGACAATTTTCAGCTAAATCGGTTCAGCCGTTCTTGAGTTATAAGTGGTGTAACTAACACGACTTTCTTTTATATATACAGGGTGTCCCGTAATGTAACGTCAAGCCGGAACTGGGTGTTAAGGCAAGTTGTGCTGGTTATCAGAAAAATATAAAAAAAAATCTATGTGGCATATTTTAAAAATAATAGGCATTAAAAAAAAATCAAAAAATTCTACTCCAGGTGACGGTCCTTTTGCTCGTGTTGCCACAAATCTTCACTTTTTCCAAAAATTTTTTTTGTTATGTAACCCTGAATAACGCTTCTCTAAATTGTTATCAAAATTACAAAACCAGCTGCTCCAGCTTGGATGAAAAAAATACATTATTCTCAAAAAGAAATTCAAAATATAAATTTTGCCTAGTTTAAACTGACTGTACTGAAAAAAAAATGTACTACGCGAGTGTGGCATGTGACGTCATAATTTGGCGCATTTAGTAAGGATTCCAAAATGGTATAACACTTGGTAAATTTTTGCTGTAATTGTCGACAATTTTTGGTTTTTTGGAAATAGTCCCGTTTTTAACTTTATTTACCTTGGTTAAAAATTATTATTCTAATGTGCCCAAAATTCAAGTTTCTGTGACTGACTACCGTACAGTCAGTCACAGAAACTTTTGTCACCATGACAGTAATTAGTAGTTGACATACTGTGACAAAAGTCACACGTGCGCGCGCGCTTTTACTACCTGCTCTGCCTGCACTTGTACTTGGTAACAGGGATAATAAGGATATGAAGTTTCGGTTATGGATACGGTTACGGATATAAGAATAATATTATACCGGTTTCGGTTACGGTCACGGATATGAAATCATTTCAGATTATCCGAAAGTCTCGGATAATTTCGGTTACGGAATTATTAGAATTTCAAAAATGTAGGTATAATACAAGTAGCAAGATGCTGCGTGAGCGTAACCCACATAGCTACTTTATGTACCAACTAAGACGACACCTATGTATGATAAAGGTAAAACAGGCTGGCATATTAGATGGTGCCAGCGAATGCCAGACAAGTTGGTAACAAATATTAAGATTTAAGGTACAATTCCAAGACGGGCCGCAGACCGCAATTTGCAACCGCAATTTGCAACCGCAAACTGCAAAACTATGAAATCGGCAGCGCGGCATTGCAGCTGCGGCGTGTATACTGCAAATTTCATAGAGTTTTGCAGTTTGGCCTTTATCCGAAACTATCCGTAACTTTTGAATCAGTTTCGGTTACGGTTATGGACATTTTTTTATTTCGGATATCCGATAGTTTCGGTTACGGTTACGGATATCCATAACATCCCTGCTTGGTAAGATGGCACTCTCCGTCCCGCTCATACCTTTTAAAATGGCTTATCCACCTCACTTAAGCCAGAAACTTAAATTTTGGGCACATTAGAATAATATTTTTAACCAATGTAGATAAAGTTAAAAACGGGATTATTTCCAATAAACAAAAATTGTCGACAATCACAGCAAGATTTTACAAAGTGTTATACCATTTTGGAATCCTTACTAAATGCGCCAAATTATGACGTCACTTGCCACACTCGCGTAGTACAATTTTTTTTTCAGTACAGTCAGTTTAAACTAGGCAAAATTTTTATTTTGATATTTTTTTTGGGAATAATGTATTTTTTTCATCCAAGTTGGAGCAGCTGGTTTTGTAATTTTGATAACAATTTAGAGAAGCATTATCCAGGGTTACATAACAAAAAAAAAATTTGGAAAAAGTCAAGATTTGTGGCAACACGAGTAAAAGGACCGTCACCTGGAGTAGAATTTTTTGATTTTTTTTAAATGCCTATTATTTTTAAAATATGCCACATAGATTTTTTTTTATATTTTTCTGATAACCAGCACAACTTGCCTCAACACCCAGTTCCGGCTTGACGTTACATTACGGGACACCCTGTATAGATCTAAACCAAAAAGTAAGTGTTTGTATTATGTATTTCGTAACAGTTTTACAATCTTAATTTAAGTTATGTTATGTTGTCGTCGGAAAAGGCAGGGATTTGTAAACTGACAGAATTATATGGGAGCGCTTTTCCGTGCAGTTCTTTCTCTAACTAAAAATAACAACTCTATGATTAAAAAGCATTCTCTACCATTTTAGCCAAAGGACGTCCACTGCTGGACAAAGGCTTCCTCTAAGGATTGCCTCAACGACTGGTCATCAATCCACCAAGTGTAAGCCTGTCATATACTCACCATAAATGTTGGGATGCAGAGTATGGGCGGGAGTATGAAACTGCTCAGTATGGCTGTGCTGCATCGCCTCTCCGTGCAAAGTATGTGGTTTCTATCCGAGTATCTGAAAAAAATTGCACTGATGTACCAAAAGTTCATTACGAGAGCTGCTTTACGCATGTTGAGTGGTTTCAATACGAATACATGAACAGTTTAATAACTTTTAGGACAAATAAACCCTTCCATTTGGCCTCCATAGCAACCGAGTACCTATACTAGAAATAACTAAAAAAATATCGAATTGCCTAAACTGGGAATCGAAACCACGAGTCTTCGCTTGCCCGGTGGTAAGAGCATGTTTTTTTTTAATAAATACAACATATTTAACTAAGGCTGGGTTTTACTTTAACCAACGTCACAAACGAACGTAACTAACAAACGTCAAATACCATACAAAAGACACCGGTTACTTATCGTTATAGTTACGGTTAAAGCTAGGTGGTGCCTTTAAAGATTTTATAAAGTCTTCCGTTTCATGTATTCTGTTAGGGTTTCTGATTTCTCGACTTATTTTTGATCTCGAGTTTCGAGAATTCTCGAGGCCTAAGTCTCGAGTTTTCTCGGGTCTCGAGTCTTTTAATGAAAACTGCTGGAATCGGTTGGAATTTATTAAAAACACAGGTTTTTTTTTTATCTAATATACTTACTTATGCATAACAATCAATATTAGAATTTAGTACCACTTATTTTGGTAAAGAAAGAAACAAAAAATTAAATCTTCTTTCATAATTAATATTTACTAATAATCATAACAAAAGTCATAAAGTCGCGTGTACTTTAAGGATAAATAACAATAAAAATCTGGAGCTACAATTGAATCACTTGTTTTCTAAAGAACACAAGTCCAAATAGCAAAATTACGATAAATAGTTTTTTTTATGAACAAAAAAAACTTTTTTATAAATTTTTAAATTTCTCACAGATAACGACTTGAATAAACTTTGCGAGGAGGCACGAGTACCTAACCTAACGTCTGTTAGGTAAGGTAACTGTCTAGTTAACAAATTTTTCAGTCTTTATATCAGTCAGCAGAGTTAAACATACATAATAATTATATCATACTCGTTGTTGAATATTATTACTTAGTTTCAATTGAGATTACTTGCAAATCAAATCAGTTAAAAAAGGAAAGACTAGGTCAGTCTAAAAGCAACGTTGACCTATTAAATAATTAAAAACTTTTTTTGTCTAAGAAAAAAGGCTTTCAAGAATATTAAAGCTTCAAAATCGAAACTCGAGAATTCTCGAGCTCCGGTAATTTTTTTCTCGTCTCGAATGAAGCCAAATTTCTCGAGTTTTCTCGAGTTCGAGAAAGCTCGAGCAGAAACCATAATTCTGATGTATTTATTACACCAAAGAGCACTTGGGAGTTGTCGCAAAAATATTAAAGCATCTCAAAGTACTTAACAGACCGATTCTCAAATGATTTTAGCCTCTGGGGAAATTACAAATCAAAGAACGATATCTAAAACGCGTAAAGGACCTTTTAGAAGCAATGTTTTTCTTTTTATACTTGCTTAATTGCGATTTTGTTTATTTAAGTATTTCAAAATTACTTCAAATGTTCAAAATTAATAATTTAATCAATAGGTATGTCATGTAGGTAAAGAGTCATGGTGTGATGTTGATGGTGAGGTCTTCTTGAGAAGGGCCTTTAGACGGCCAGTAACAGCTTAAAAAGTAATAAAAATAGACATAATAAAGATAAAAAGAATTATAATAGAATTAATTATATATGATATTATAGTTATTAAAGAGTGGAAAGGTACTCTTTAATAGTTATTCTGAATATGAAAAGGACAAAAAAGTTTATTAGTTCGACAATGACACAATTAAATATAGACATAAATAGTAAATTAAAAGGAAAATGAAATGCAAATCTTGTCAAAAATTAGGTCTTTTACATAATATAAATAAACTAGCTGTGCCCGCGACTTCGTCCGCGTGGAATAATGACTTTGGGTAGGCACTTTTATTAATTTAGTCTAATTATTTTACAAATAGCTTTTGCCCGCGACTTCGTCCGTGGAGAAGTCGAAAACGTTCTCATACGATTATTTTTAAATGTTTTAACGTTATTATCTAAATGTTTGAATACTTTTAAAATATAAAAATCAGGTTAAATAAACATGAAAATATTTTTTTCTTATATTTTATGAATATGCAGCTCGGCCTTTGATCCGGTGAACGAAATCGAAAACTACACCTACCGCAGTATTATTGGTAAACTTTTTTTTTATATTTTCCTACGGGTGCTAGAATCACCAAGCTTCCAGCATGCCACTGGCCGTGGGAGAAGGAGCTTTTCCTCAAGACTACTCCCACTACCTCAAGGGCCTCCGCCAAAACTCTCGCGCGAAAATGAGTTTATGTATACAGCGCAAGCAGGTGCCCGCGGCATGACTTTCATGCATTACTATGCATTGTTGGGCGAGCGCACGCAGCGGTCTGTTATAGAATGCTTATGCAAAATTTTAAGTAGATTGGACGAAGGAATCTCGTTATTTCATACAAACTTTGCCCCTCCTTTTTACCTCCTTAGGGGTAGAATTTTGGAAAATCCTTTCTTATCAGATGCTTACGTCATACAAAGAACATACCGTCCAAGTTTCAGGTCTTTACGATCAGCGGTTTAGGCTGTGCATTGATCCATCAGTAGCGCGCGTAGTACTTGATCATTATTTTGCTGCGATGTGATTTTAAAACTGCGATATCTCCTAAGATATTTATTGAAATCGAATGGTGTAAAGGGCAAGAATGTTTAAAATTAAATACTTGTGGTGAATAATTTATTTATTTGGATAAGGATTAATATCATGTTTATAAAAACACCTTCGCAAATAATGCATTATTTTAAAACAGATTTTTTTTGCATAAAAATGGTTACTATGAGCCAACCTTAAAAGATAGACATATGCTACCGCGGACTTTTTTAAAGAACTTTTAAAGGGGAACAATCCTGTCATACATGATTTTTGCGAAACTTTAACCGTTTACGCAGCGTCAGCTCTCAAAAGGAAAAAAATCACCGATTTGAAATATTATTGATTGGTGCTCCGCTCCTATTGGTCTTAGCGTGATGATAAATAGCCTAAAGCCTTCAGGAACTAACGGGCTATCCAACACAAAAAGAATTTTTCAAATCGGTCCAGTAGTTCCTGAGATTAGCGCGTTCAACCAAACAAACAAACAAACAAACAAACAAACAAACAAACTCTTCAGCTTTATAATATTAGTATAGATATAATAAATAGGTCCTTTCTTAGAACACTTGAACATGCGGTAAACAGCCATTGTTTATTATGAAGTAGGTAATGTCATGGCCTACATACTCAAGCCTAGTTCTAAAAATAGTTAAATACGATTTGGTAACTTTTCTATCGGAAAAGCGATTAGCAGAATATAACAATAGGTATGGATCAAATAAAATATAAATAACTTTTAATAATGTTTCTTCGAGACAGAATTCCTTTGAAGATCTAATCCAAGTAGGAAATGTCCAATTAATTGTATTTCTTCAGAGTAGATTAAATAGTGTTTATAGTCTCGTTAAATAAGTTCAAAGGAGCGCCACGAATAAATACAATAAGTTCGTAGTTATTTTGTAATTTTGCTATTGAAGCAAAAGTTAATTTAAGGCCGGACATTGAATTTTGGTCGCGACAATAATTCGGCCTCAGTTTAATAATCAAGTTTTGTTTCAGTAAATATTAATGAAACCGAAATATTTGTCGTTATGTAACTATGCGACACACACAATGTGTGATGAAAATTTTGAGGCGTTGTAAGTACGTACAGACAGCATTATTACACATTGTATAGCAAAATAGCCTGTATCACAAAGAGATAAGACGTAACAAGCGCTGAAAAACAATATCAAGTAAGGCAAGGCAGAGAACATTAATTTATCTGTGGATCCAGGGTTTTTTATAACAATATTTCAGGAAATATTGTTATTAAAAACCACACAAGTTATTATTCTATTTATTGGGCAACGGGAATACTTGTACCTACTGGACATAGTAAATGTATTTAACAGTCTTTTTATACTCTACGGTAAATTTTTTTCGTTCAATGGGAAGTAAGACCTATACGACGCTGTCGAATCAAGAGTTAAGCGTTTGGTTGAAAATTAGGACTTGTTTCTGATGCTTTTAAGTTTTTGCTGAATAAAGGCAGCGACAGGTTAATCAGTTTTTGAAAGTGATTAAGATTCTTGTGTGTACGATGGTTGATTAACCAGTCTACGAACCCTTTGACATAATTTGAAACAAACGACTTTATCAATAATATTAGATCGTTCCATCCACGAAGACGCGCCGCACCATTCTTCCGCTAATGTTTGAGTGTATCGGTACACGCTAAATCATCCATAATGACGCTCGGATTGCTCTGAAAATTCCCCGCACCCCGCGCTTCCCTCTACCAAAAATAGGCGTGGCGCGTCTTCGTTCGTATGCCTATAGGAAGCATCTAAAAATATATATTTTTTAAGTACCATTATTCAATATATTTTGAAAAGTTCTTGGCCTGCATCTCAGCATTCTTATTCTGAACTAGTAGGTAACAGATTTTCGTAATCTAGCTTAACATTTTAATTCTGAACTTGTAATTATAGGTAGCTATACAATGTGCTCTCTTTGATTTCCTGGAACTCTAGAGTATTAATAAGACCATTTCAAAAAATGGAATGGCATTATATTTGTTGTTAAATTCAACAACTTTTTTCGACTTATTTTTTCATACGGAATTATTTAAAAACTTTATTTTTCACTGAAATAATTCATAATTTACGTACTCTTATCAATAAAAAGTCTGCACAAAAAGACTACCTAGGTGACAATTTTGAAAAAAAAAAAACTAGATTGATGATACTATAATCTAAATCAACTAGGTATCTTCTAAATCTAGAATCCACAATATCTTCAAAAATATGCTTTTAAAAAAAATATTCCTAAGACTCTTTAACTAGTTATTATAATTTATAGAATATACTTACCCCTAAAATTTCCGTAAAACAAAAAGAGCACGTTGTAGAAGCTTTCTAAAGCCCGTTTTCCACCGTCAAAGAGGAATGAATGAACTTTTTCAATGAAAAAGAGTTCGGGGGTATTGATTAGATGAGCGAGCTCATTTTTACTCTTTTTGCCCTCTGTCATTTTTTCCCGACTCTTTTTTGGTGGGAACAAAATTTGTTCCCACCAAAAAAGAGTCGGGAAAAAATGTACATTTAAGGTACCTATGCATTTTTGTATAGCGAGGTAAATTCATTAATGGGCTCGCTTCACTAGCTGTGGAAAACCCGCTACATTCCTAACTACAATAGTAGCAAATCTAATAATAGTTAACATTTGTGATGACAATATTTTATGAGATCTATAATTTCCCCATCAAGTAATGGAAGATATTCGCGACATGCTTCTCGGAACGCTATATTGAAAATAAGTAAATTGTCAACAATTTATCTGCTATTTTGAGTATGATCTGCCCCAATAAAGTCTCTTGTGGCATCACATTCATCGTGTATGGAAAATAAAACCGCAAAGATCGACATTGTTATTCAATCCCAGAGGTTCGGTAGATTGCACAAAGGTAAACCACCCAAAAAGCGGAAACGACATAAAGGTTCCGCTTTTTCATTCCATTTTTATCAGTATTCTACCTACAGGGTTATTTACAATACACCAGTTACCTCGCAGAAATAGATAGTTAGCATCATAAGCAACTACATTTATTCAGAATTTACACATAAATACGTTAGGAGTTTTTACTCTAAAGCCCGGTCTGTGAGCACGTAGAAATTTGTCCAATGACCCCAAGCTACCCATCCTTTTCGCTCGCGCGTAATTACTTATGTTGCTGTCGCGCTTGCACCTCACTGCGGGCGCCCGTCGTACAGTCGCGAGTCGCGACAGCAATTATAATTATGCGCGAGCGATAAGGATGGGTAGCTTGGGGTCATTGGACAAAATTCTACGTGCTCACAGACCAGGCTTTAAACGAAAATTATTTTTCAAGGGTTTTTTTTATAATCCACTCGGCGTCAAATAAATCGCACCTCCCGCGGTCGAGTTAACCGTTCACCTGGCACCCGTGATGTTACATCGACGCTCGTGCAACGGGGCGAACGCGGGGAAGTGGGAGAGTAGCATTTCAACGAGGTGCACAGTTAACTTGATCGGGTTGTAAGTCTATAAGGGTGTTTGGCGGAAAAAAGCGCTTGGACGCGATTTTAAGCAAAATGGCGATCGCTACGGCAGGTTTCGGCGAGGACGTGTTGCATTCATTTTTTAGCAGTGACAGCGCATACCGCTCAGCGATCGCCTACAAGCGCTTGGAAGCGCTTTTTTTCGCCAAACGCCCCCAATATCACATTTAGGAAAGAACGACGCAACTGGCGCAACGTATCTGTTCTTGGTGATGCGCGTAGATTTATAAACATTAGAGCGGTAAATTATTAATATTTGTTTTACTATGAAACCACCAACTTACTTACTTTATAGCCACGTATCTCCACACAGCAAGTGAAAGTGTGAGACATATGGATGCCGTGTGGAATATCTGCGTGAAGTGCATGTGGAAGAGCAGGTATGCTGCCCAGTTGTACGGCATTTCTCGCTGGCCGGGCAAAATCTGCGGAAAATATAACCTTAAACACCAAATACACTCGACATCAAATAAATCGCACCTCCCGCGACAAGCACTTTCAAACGTATGCATCCCCACTTCCCACCAATATTGGCACCATTTAAAAGCCTAGTTCTAAACTTCATTTCATTAAAGGAAAGGTTTTTACCCCAAAAATGCTTTAAAAGGATCCAGAGTCACTTCTTCAAAAAATAGGTAGTTACGCTTGAGCCAACTTTTATGGCTATAAAACTGTTAAGTTGGGATTAATCGCTATCCATCTGTTAAAGAGGACACGTGAGGTCATTATTTGGTTTTATAACCATAAAATTTGGTCTAATTGATCCCAAAGGTGAGCCCAAAGTGAGGTCTTTTTTCAAGTCACATTTATGGTAGGTATCTATATAATAATTTATTTAGAAATTAAATGTGTTTTTCTTTAAGGATATTTATTGATCTTTCAAATAACATCAATATTGTTGGGCCACCATGTTTGTGTCAGAAGTAAATCTTTAAAGTTCGCGTCACGGAAGGTGCGGTTTATTTGATGTTGAGTGTAGTAAGCTTATTTTATCAGAATTAATGTCAAGATCTTAATATGCAATGCTAATCTTTTCAGTTTACAGCGCGTAACAGATAACCGAAGGTTATCAGACTAAATATCGCACTATCTTTTACCCACGCACACGTTCAAAGAGAAATAAGTTTATTATCTAAACGGTATTTCACTAAACAAAAGTTCTAATATTAACGTTAGATATTATAAGTACTGGCCAGTGGCCACTACGAAACTTTCTTTTTTTCATCGACCAATATCGTTATTCAATTATTTTTTTACTTAAAGCCCGGTTTCCACCAAGGCGGAGCGGAGCGGAGAAGTGTTTTGAATAACTCATCAGATTTCATTATTTCCACATCTCATCTTCGCACTGCACAGCTCCGCTCTGCCGCCTGTCAAATTCTATACAAAAATTCGTCCGCCCGACATAATGTCCTCAGCTCTTCTCCGCTCTACTCCGCCTTGCTAGAAACCGGGCCTAACGTTTGTTTTTATCCTAACGAGTAAGTTAACTACCTACAACGTTTAACACACGCACTAATAGGCGCCGGGATTGGTCCATCAGATCAATTTGGTCATGTTTAAGTGAGCTTTATTGCTATTTCATAAGGCCTAATGAAGGCTATCGTTTTAATACTTATTTATCAGTTGGCACCCCTGGCGATTGACATGGCCCTACTCTAGAATGACTATTCTGGTGAGTGCAAATGTGATCCTACCACTACAGCGCTCAATCGGCGCCACTGTCTTCGCCACTAGCAACTGACAGTGACCTTACTCTACAGTAGCGCCAACGTGAGCGCTAAAGCAATAGCCCTCATTGTTTCATAATTGAAGGGGTGAGTGGACAAATGTCTTAATTAACAAAATGAGTTTATGAGTGTTTGAAAAACCACATTTGAATCCTGAAATGTATGAATGCTTGTCAAATAACACCTTTGTTAAGATTTGACACGTAACAAAATTGCGTGTTTTGAGCTCATTAGTCGATTTTATCATCACTTAAAACCTATGTTCATGCAAAAAAGTTGATTCTTCAGTTTTGTCAGATAACACCTTGGTCCACTCACCCCTTCAATTAATAAACACGTACCAAATATCTGTAGATGGCGAAGGGCACGTACTCCATCATGACGAAGACGTCGGCCACCGCCAGCCACTTCAGCAGCCGGTTGATGGGAGCGGCTGCCAGGTCTCGCCGCGTCAATACTGCCACGTTCAGAGCGTTCGCGAAACTCCCGAAGAAGCAGACCTGGGGAAACAAGGAGATGAATATCTTGGCACGAATTTAAAGGTATGTGGAAGTATTTTTCTTGTATAGTATAAAAAAGACTAACACCCGTATTCACAAACGATGCTTGCAACGCTATGCGAAGTCGAACGAACAGCGTTGAATAGAGCTCTGTGATTGGTCCGTGTGTGTCATTCCGCTACTGAAGTATTGTCTATGAATAGGGTCCACGCGCACTGTGAGACCTCATAGTAATAATTATGTTCCTGGTGTTAGGCCTAGTTCAGACACGGCGGAATCGTAACCGCACTGTTATCACCTCAGTGCCTTGCTAATGAGAACCAATCACAAACCTCGCGTGTCTGAACAATACCTTAGGTAATCTTACAAATTTACAAATATAACCACTGAATAAGATTGAACTGTCATTAGATTTAGAATCTTGCAACAAAATTAAAAGACGTTTATTTTTAAGTTTTTATTCGAATTAGTAGAGCAGTAGAAAGATAGGTCTTATTGATTGCCACTATTGCCGAATTCTACTAGAGCGGACCTACTTGTTAGTCAGGGCTGTAATATCCCAGACCTGGCCACAAACAAAATAAGAAAAAGAAAAAGGTACTATTAGGACTTAGTTTCACATCTTTGAGTGTTTTATAGTAAAAAAAAAATAAAAAAATATCATTCGTTCGCCTACCCATGGCGGAATATGACCTTCTACTACAAAGAGATTAATTTCCTTATGTTTTGAACAAAACCACGATTTCTACATACATCCGATTCCAAGCAACAAAACAATAGATAAGCTTAATTTGGCACAAAGACAAAGACTGAAAACATCGCATTTTAAATAAAGAGCGTGCCAAAAAGGTCACCCTTGCAGTACATTACAGGATGTAATGGACAGATATGAACTCGCAGAAATGAAAAAGTTTTGGTTACTTCATTTTACGACCCTCAATGAACATTATACTGATTCTGAAGTGTTTTGTATACTCTCTAGCTCTCTCTCTAGTTTCTGCCTACGCCGGCTTCACCCTCGTGTACTTTAGTCTCTTAAAAAAACGTAGCTCGTGTTTCATTCCTATGATCGTTAATATTATCACTTGATTTCTAACAATAACTATAATAATAACTGGCGTCTTTTGTATGGAGTTTGAGTAGCATTAAATTATATTATGATTGCTCATGATCAAATTGACGACGAGAAATTAGTATTTTACACATTTCATTATACTTACTTCAATCATTTCATTTTACAAAGTTGCTGCAATCTAAAATTGAACTAAGCAAACTTCGACGTGTTTATCTTTAACACTTTGAAAAGGTAAGAACTTTATTAACTTAACAAATTCCGAAAAAACATCTTCCATTTGTCTTAATCTTTCAAAATTGTGAATAATAAGCCCTCAGGATGATTTAATGGTAGGAAAGTTCGTGTTCTTTCATTTAATTATTCGACTCTTTCCTTTTTACTGTGGGTAGATAGCACATCGGGTTGTACATTTTCGTTGCAAAATAATTCCTATTGCAACTACCTAAGATCTAGTCATTTTTAGCATGACGTGCTGTCGTCTGTTCTTTAGATAGGTACAATTCATTACAACAAGTGCCATTTGTCCAGTCCAAAAGGCCTGAAATAAATTGTTTGTCTGTATGCTAAGCGCAAAAGATCTTTAGTTAACCTTGCCTTACTAAAGTAGACTTTAGGTGACTTTCATCTAAGTAGTTTCACACAAGTATGTTTTAATGTTAAATAGGGGGGACCGAGGAGACTTGCACTAAAAACACGCACTGTTACGAGCTAGTACTAAAGTTAATTATAAGTTTAAAACTGTCGGTCGGTGGAAATCCTTGGGGAAGGCCTTTGTCCAGCAGTGGACGTCTTTCAGCTGAAACGAACGAATAAGTTTAAAAAATCGACAATATCACAATTCTGCTCTGTTAATCGCTCAGGTTACTCGCCTCGGTCTCCTATAAGACTTAATTTGCTCCTACGCTTACTATGTAACGCGCGCCTACGTCAGTTGAGCGAAACTTACGTTTATGCGTAAGGAATATTCGTAAACTTGGGCTTGGCTGACGTACTTACGCGACCGCCGTTAGCGTAGGAGGAAATCAAACCTATAATATGTTTCATTTACTTGTTAATACATAAAACTAGATTAACATAATTTATATGACTCTTAAGGAAGTTTCAAACTTTCAGTTTATTTTTGCTTTGTTCACTTTCATCAAAGTAACGTGAGTTAGATTTCCACTGTTTAAAAGTAACTGTCACAAATTGGAACTGCACAATCGTCAAGACGTAATCTCTTCCAGAAAAGGGGATAGGACAAAATCAAAATATTAAAGCACATAATACACGACTCAAATATTAGCTTGCCCTACCACTACTTCGGGATACCATATCGACTGGTGCTGAGAAGAAGTTGTGACAAATACTCAGTCATCTTTGTCGGTCAAATGTTTTCTTTTGGTAAACTACAATTTAAATAAAGTTATGCGTTTCTGTGATGACCTCTTTCACATTTAACAAGTTATACTAAGTTCTCTGCGCTATGCAAAACTGATGGGCTTACTTTAGCTTGCTCTAGTACAAACAAAGGCGTTTGTGCATCGTTCCTAACAACATTAAACAAACTAAGGGTCTTGTAAACACATACTAACTTAACTATTACTTTTGTGTTTGTTACACACAAAATTCAGCGCCAATGCTCAGAAGTTACCCTTTTAGCTTTAAACTTATTTTTATTAAGAAACTCAACATAATTTTTACCCTTTACATGGTTGAAAACATTAAGTTACAGATACTTGTTTCATAGCTGCTACAAAATCAGGTCAAATAAGTCTAGAACTAGGTATAAAGTAAATTTATCTAATTAATATTAAAAACAAGATAATTACTTAAGTTTAGAGTTTTAGGAAAACTTTCAACAAATATAAAAACTATCCATAGCCTGCTGTTTGTCTGTAACCTTTTCACGCTTCAAGAATAATTTGAACCGATTTTAATATAATTTGGCTTAGAGATAGTTCTGGAGCTATAGAGTCAAGACATAGGATAGTGTTTATCCCGATTTTTAAAGGAGGATACGCACTCGATATTCATTCTGAGACAGACCGAAATTCAAGCCTAAAAATTACACATATTACGAGTACAATATATGTACATATCCTATGTACACACATACAAATGGCTGTTCAGCGCAACCAAATATGCCTAGACCTGTACAGATTGAGCAAACAACAGTGCTCGTGTGTGCTGCCCGTATGTCAACTCAGTACAGGATTTGATTACATTTTAGGATCTCCCCTATTGTCCGTCTCCCTGTTACCTGTTGAAGGTTAAATATTAAGGCTGAGTTGCATCACCATATTTGAATTATCATGGAAGTCATTGGGAGAGACCTTGAACATAGGCCTCATAGGCAGTAGACGTCTTATGCAGAGTAAATACAAATTAGTAGGTCATCTTCATAGAAACGCACCGAGCGCGGTTTGTATGTGAGCGCGCCAATACGTATACGGCGCGCAGCACACACTGACAAAATTCGGCGCAACTCCCCGCTAATCCACGCTAAATTTTGTCAGTGTGTGCGTGCGCGCCGCATATGTATTGGCGCGCTCGGTGCGTTTCTATGAAGATGACCTACTCATTTGTATTTACTCTGTTTTAAGGCTGAAATGATGATGAAACAATTTATGTACTTATTAATACGTTATTTAAACAAGGTTAGGGCTTATTAGGAACCTACTTTTCAGGTAAACTTTCATGAGCAGGTAGGTACCTAATTAGTCAATTTACACCAAAGACAGCTTGTAATTTCAATTTATTTGGATAATTATGTTTCATTAACTAAAACCTAAATTTATAAAGGTTCTAATTAAGTCTCAAATTAAAGTTAAATGAACAACATAAAAATATAAATTATGAAGTATCTAACCTCATTATCTTTGCATAAAATTAATTAGTAGAATTGGTATATGCGGGTATCCCGAATTTTGAAAACCCATCTCATAGCATCGTAACAGAACTTCACATAGTTTTGAACCTTTAAATACCTGTCAGATTTGCATAATATGTAGTAGGTGTCTACTTAGATTAGATTCTGTGGGTAATTGCAATCCAAAATCTAACCCTAGTGAAATCTTAAGTTGAAATTCATTGTAGGTACACTGACAGTGTTTTGGATGTACGTCAGTTTAACTAGCCTTAAATGCTCAGCTTTAGAAAGAAGAAATAAAAAACTACAAAATAACACACTTTTCAGAGTTCTTCATACAAAATTACTCAGTGATTCTTCGACACTTTGATGCTTGTTTTACAATACAAGCTTAGAAGAGCTATCCAGTAAACTAAACGTAACGAGAGTCCAAGTTTTCCAAGAAGCGTCGAAGTGGGAGACTATAGGTCTTTATGGGAGCGGTACGGGAGTGGTTAAATTGACATATTATTATGACGTGACAGATCATACATATGTGAAAGAAATCTGAAGTCACGCTGACGTTTGATGTCTCAAAAACACCCTCTTGTGCTGCTCTTATACCTTGGGCACTGACTCTGTTAAACCAGTTAAACGCTAGACGTATTTAAGGTTGTTCATGCTATAGGTAGTAGATATCATAAAATGACAACTTGCGGTGCGTCAAACGAGCTAAATTGCAACACGCTTCAAAGTTGTGCAAGTGTAAAATATAGGTTGGGCCAAATTTTTTTGCAAATAGCAACGCTTATTTTCTCGAAAACTGTTCGAGTTAGGAACGCGAGGGCGATGGGCAACTGTGCATAATTTCAAAAATGTTTAGTCACTGTGGAGCGTTTCATGAAACAACGTCGTGCTTTTGTGTAAAGTTGCTATTTGCAAAAGTTTTTGGTCCACCCTGTATATGTAAATCCGCGCAAGCTCATGCTCTTGTCGATACAAAATCTGAATTTCAAATCGCGTCTTTGGTTTTCGTTACGAGTAACGTCGTAAACCTTACAAATCAAATGCTATGAACATACCGGATACCTAATTGTATTGTATTTCCCAATTGAAGCGTGGGATTAGAGTAATCTATCTGAAAAGGGTGTCAGGTAATCAGATTATGCGGTTATTCAGGATTTAGAATGACAGACACTGATACGTGCTTAATATCCTTACTTATTGAAAACGCCCCCGCCTTTCTTGTTGCTTTGAATTCTCTGCGAATCTGTTTTGACTAACTAATATTCGAAGGCAGATTCTGAATTCCCTGTTGGAATTGTGATACAGATAAGCCAATTGACGTGATTCAATGATCCTTATTATAATAGGAATTCACAACCTAATACCAAAAGCCCCCTAAGAACATAAAATGAAATAATTGTTGTGGGTAGAGTAAGGAACAAAATTGGGTTGAGTAAAGAAAAAATAATGAGTGGGTAGAGACTGGAGATGTCTTGGGTCAAATACGGAATAACCCATTCCATCACCCGGGAACCAGACGCAAGTTGCTTTTAATACTGATATTTATGGGCTCCATAAAAGCATTTGACGATTTGTAAGTAGGTAGGTACTAATTTAATTAGTCTACACAATAAAGATATTTTTTTTTCTTTTCTTCCTTTCCTTTATTCCTAATGGAGATAAACTTCAAAAGATCGATAGCGGAAATCAAAAGGGCTCTTTTAAGTTCAAATGTGCTTGACAAGGGTCCACACAAGTGCCGTCCAAGGTCCAAGTGTGCATGGATATTGAAATAAATGTTGCAACTTGGACGTCTTTTAACTTTTAGTGATCGACCGAATATTCGTTTTCGGGCATTTTTCGGCTGAAAATCCATTTTCAGTCGGATACTAAGACAGTGAGAATACGAGGGGTGTTCAAAAAGTAATGAGAATGGGATATTTCTAGCCATCACAAAAATCTGAAAAAAATGGCCTATATCTTCACTAGAAACTGATAAAAATCATTATTTTAAGTTCATCATTTCGTTTAAGAATTACATTCATCTGAACGCGACCAGTCGGATGATTTTCTTGACTGTCCAAAAAGGCTTAAAAAGGACACTGCCATTGCCAAACATTTTTATCCTTTATCCTTTGTCCCAGGCCTAAGATCACAGAACTTACTATGTCCGATTAAAAGGGTTAAAGATCAGTTCAACAGAAATAACCTATAAGGGCAAAAGTCTAGGTTTTGCCAGTCTGAATTGTAATGTATTGTATGAGTAGAACTTAATGCGTAAAACACGAACCTTACCTATACAAATCCAGCTTACAAGCCGAGTTACTTATTCTGTGGCACGAGATAAGTAATTCATTTTGTATTATCTATGTCTAGAATTGCCGCTTTATAGGGATTATACTAAGTATGAATAAGTATTCAATGAATGAAGCATACCATTATTATCATACTAGCTTTACTAACAAAGGTAGCGTGATGAAATCCCACAAACATAGGTGCTTAGGTCCATAACATTTGTGTACGAGTATTACTTACTTACAGTCAACATTTAAAATTGTTATAAAATTAAATTCATGCGTGGACCCACCCCGCTTTGCCCTTTTAGGGCTGAAGTTTCGTAAAATCCGTTCTTAGCGGATTATATTAACAAACAAGACTGTATTTTTTTGTTGAATTTTGTTGCTTTCTACTTTTGGAAAAAAATAAAATAACACGATCTGATTTTAAATTAAAGTTTCTTGTAATCTTTATCAGAGAGTAGATTCTTAGATCCATCCTGAACTTTATTCTTACAATAACAATGCTTAAACTTCGTTATTATCAAGTACTCGTAGTTTTACAGGATATACATAATTTTATGTAAGTAGGTAGAGTTTTATGTAAATGCCATGTCAGACGCCTAAAGCGGTTTTCCTATTGCAAAGACAATTTATTATTTTGGGAATTTATTATTATTTTATGCATAATATTAGATACCTTATTAATAATTCATTTAGATTAGGAAGACCAGGGTTTATACATTATTAAGTTAAGTCAAGATTTAACCGCCTCTGTAGTCTATTGATAAGGCCACCTGCTTCAGACACAGAGGTCCCGGGTTCGATTCCTAGTGGGGGCAGATTTTTCTGTTCAGTTTGGTTGGTGGTAGGGCTTGTTCTAAGTCCGCCTGGCTAGCTACCACCATCTTACCTAAGTCTGTCGCCATAACAACAATGTTAACAGCATTGTTGTGTTCCGGCAGTTAAGAGGTAGGATAGCTAGTTCCTCCGTGGTTGAGGATTCCGGGTGAAGTTCGCTTCCACCTTCGGCCTGATCGTCACTTACCATCAGGTGAGATACAGGCCAAGAGCTTCCTCGTTATGGATTTAAAAAAAAGATTATATATATTCTGTAACTGTGGGGTCTTATGTTGTTATAATTGGGACATGTTTACTACAAAAACATAATAGAAAGCTCACACTTAATGCATAATTGTTGACCCGAGGTGGTGGCAGAGCAAGCTATATTTGGGACGTGTACACGAGTGCGCCTGTCTAAGTACTGAATAAATATTTTGATTTTTGATTTGATTTTGTTAGTCTGAGGTGGAATTGTGTAAAGCAATCGTTATCATTTGACAGTTCATAACGTACGATTATTCTGTCAAACGCTTTGTTTAACTAACTTTATGGTACGTTATGAACTGTCAAATGATTACGATTGATTTAAACAATTCCACCTCAGATGTACATATCTGTCTAACTGTACAATTAACACTAAAGAACCACGTACAAATCAAAACGATCACACTAATAGCAATCACACACACTGACAAAATTCGGCGCAACCACGACTGGCTCATCCAGTGTCCACGCTAAAGTTTGTCAGTGTGTGCGTGCGCGCCGCATACGTATTGGCGCGCTCACATACAAACCGCGCTCGGTGCGTTTCTATGAAGATGACCTACTCATTTGTATTTACTCTGCTAATAGCAATCTAATTCATCAAATCAATCAAAACACCCTGAATAAACGGAATTTATCAGTATTAATTTAAAGCATACCCTCATTATCGTGTTTTGATATTGCCAGCGGTATTTGCATGGTCATTAGGAAGGGACCGACATGATGAGCCTAATCGCTCACAAATAAACATAACTACCCTAAAAACGGGTAATTTGATACCCATGTGGAGACGAGGGTATTCAAAGACCCGCTTTGACTGTACTGAATAGGTATGGATTTATGTAAATGGCCTTCTATAATATATAATAAACACATTTGGGAAATCTATGGTAATCCTCTCGTCTCTAGTTACTAAAAATTAGGTAAGTACTCAATTTAATGTAAATTATCGATATTAAAAACATGAATAGATACTGAAGATAAAGCAATCATACCCAAGCTTTAAGCTTCCACTTATCTAAATAAGCTCCGTAAACATTACCAATTGCCCTGGAGCTAAGCCAAGTAAAGCCAAAGCTAATAATGTCTATCTCCGCTACTACCAAGTAACTTTGACCACAATTTATACAAATAAACAAATTAAAATGTCAGTTTGTAATATCATCCAACTTTCGTCAAGTCCTGTAGGTATACGTATAGCTAGAGTCTACAGTGTACCTACCATGAGTTTACGTTAGGTGTGCTCGCTAGCGAGTACGTCAAAAATCTCTATGAAGATTTTGTTTCTTGAAAGTAGCCACTAGGGGCGCTGCACAATATGTCATACAAATTAATGTCAATTTTTTACGCAGTCGCTAGCGAGCACACCTAACGTAAACTCATGGTAAGCACATAGTTTGTACTAATAAAAATACTACAGTGAAAGTAAATTACTATGAATAAACTGACAACGCCACTCTTGTGGCGGAGTTTTGGGCTGACACTGTGTAGGTTTGTTGTCGACACGAAAAGAAGAAGAAGTGAAAACAAAGTTTATCTCAGTGGTTTAAAGTGGCCCTGGACCCGTCATGAAAAAGAACAACTAACATTAGAAGAGTTCGAAGTTAAAGATGGACTTCACTCCAATGTAAATTATCACTAGTACGGGATTTGGGAACAAAACACTTTTATAAAGGTAAACTCCAGTGCAAAGTGGATGACAATGACAAGCTACAAAGGCAGCTGTAAATAAAATAGCCTTTGCTAGAAATGTAGTAAATTTTAAAAAAGGTACACAGTCAGCGTCAAATATATAGTTCGTGACAAAAAGTTGACAACACAACCTTTTCCAATGAGGATCGCGAATGAAAAATCCGCCAGATGGCAATACGTAGACGCGAGGTCCAAATGCTGCATGATTGGTTATTTTTGACATGACATTGACAGATATGTCAAAATCCACCAATCACGCAGCAGTCAGACCCCACATCCACGTCCCACCATCTAGCGGATCTTTCATTCGCGAAAACCCTCATTGTAACAACGACGTGACTGCACACGATGATGAACACTTTGTTAGAAGGATCTATCACGTACTATGCTGTTATCTACTTGCCAGTAATATTTGACTGACAAACAAATCATCATTTCAGCCATAGGATGTCCACTGCTGAACATAGGCCTCCCCCAATGCTTTCCACGTTGATCGATTGGTAGCGGCCTGTGTCCAGTGCTTCCCTGCTACCTTTACGATGTCGTAGGTCCAAATTATTACAAACAAATATTCTTTACAAATACTTACTATCAGACTTATGTAGCCATGGATGTTGTTGTACGCCAGGATCAGGTCACGGAAATTTCCATCACAGTAGTTGCAAGTCGCTTCTGCTGTCTTCGTCAGGTTTAGCTTATGTCGCCATCCATCCACCAGCTTCACCAACGTTCCAAAGTCTAAGGGCTCATGGCTGGTGTTCTTTGAGGACTTCTCCTTCAAAGCCGACAGGAATAAGGATAGGTCTACGTTACTTCTATTCTCATTTTCCACGTCAGATGCCAGGAGCATCTCCTCAAAGAGATTAGTGAGGGTTCTGGTTATGTTGGAGCTGCCGTCTTCAAACGACATCTTGATTGTTGGTCAGTATACTCGTAACTCCATTACCTGTGAACAAATGATTTGGTTTCAAAAAATATTTTAACGTGTAAAAAGTACCTTATCCGATTCGAAAAAGGTTATTCTGATGCTCAAAAAACAAATATGGGACCACCGAAAAATTTAAATTAGAAACAATATTCACTGGTCCATGCTAAATGATCCATGATCTGATAAAAATATTCTGGGATCACTTCATTCCGGACCCGTAAAGGGATTTTTGTACTATAAATATTACGTTAATAAACATCATTTTAAAATTAATAGAACCATAATAAAATTGCAGTTAAAAATGACTATGAAGTTACTTTATTTAATACCAAAAAAATACGGAACCCTAAAAAGGTTTTTTCCTCTAATGAAAGTAAAACATTGTCGGAAAATTAACCAATTTATCTTCCATTTACTAAAAATACATACGAGTATCCTACTTGTGATTCTATCAGACCTTAAATATTGTCATGGGAAATCATATATGTGATTTTCATGAATATAAAACTCAACTAGCTTTTTCCCGCGGCTTCACCCGCGTGAATTTACTGTCACAGATCGGCATAAATTATAGCCTACATGTTAATCTGGGTTACAAACAATAATGCTTTAAAGTTTCAATCCGCTCAGGAGTTTTTGCGTGAAAGAGTATCAAACATACGTCATGACATCCTAACATCCATACAAACTTTCGCATTTACGAGTATAATAATTAGTAGGAAGTAGGATATAAATTTACACGTGTAGGCTCAAATTGAGAGGCGACCATGGGCCGTGAAGTCGTGGGCACTGGGCAGGCTACTCCCACTAAAACAGCCTAGGTACTTGCTAAATGTCTTTGCTAGTAAAAATCGCATGTCCCGACGCGCAACCAATATTACTTAGTAGATCTAATATTAAAATTTGGAATGTAGGTTCATTTTAATATTCATTATGAAGAGTTTTTTAGAAAGTTCAAATAGGTATCAGTTGAAACGGGTCTGCGCGATCTACATAACATCTGTTAGTATAATGCCCGTTTTCACCATCAATCCCTAATTTTTAAGCGACCCCTATGAAAAATGCCTGTAATGTGTTATCATAGGGTTCACGTAAAAATTAGGGATTGATGATGAAAAAGGGGATAAGTCTAACACATCTTTTCAATTAAATTAAAGTTTATTCATACTAACATTCGACCAGCACGTGGGAGTATAGCAATGCTATGTATAGCAAATCAAATCACGTCATGGACACGGTCAGTGGTCAGATTTTAGATTTGACGCACAACTGGAAACGTGATTTTGAACTACGATTTCCATTTGAAATCGCGTAATCCCTATTTGAATTGCAAAATTGAATATTTCTAGTACAATTAGTAATACTGCGCATTCGTATGTAGGTATCTACTCGTACGTATACCGTATGTAATGATCTAATAAGTAGGCAATTTACGAGAAAACCATATTTTTTCTTCTTTCAATCTGAAGTTTGTATAGGAAGCAAATTAAACAGATAATCTTATTATTACCGACTTTTCCTTGAAAGAAAATAAACGTTTTATTGTCAACATCATCTCGTATTCGTATTTCGACAAATTAGGTACTTACTTAGGCTGGGTTGCACCATCTTACTTTAACTTTGACAAACGTCAAAATTCTGTTAAACTCCATACAAAATACACCGGTTATCGTTATGGTTACGGTCAAAGTTAGGTGGTGTAACTCAGCCTTAGTCTACGTTTATCAAAGAGTTTTAATTATTAGTTTTGTTTCTGACCTTACCTGTTTAAATTTTGGTAAGTCACAGAATGCCATTAAGGCTATTATCGCGCGAGCCGAATTCTAAAATGGGTCTTCTCTTCACGAACTTTAACCTTTTGTGTACCTAACCTAGGTCATACGGGAGTACGGGACTTCATGCCTATGGTAACTAACGACCTCAGATCATAGAAGGGAATAGATATGAACTCGCGCCTAACTACAACGAGAACCAGTGTCCCCACATTTCCCCCACCACAGCTCCCACACACACATTCAACTGTGTAAAAACAAAGCGACTGAGAGTCTACGACAACATGTGCAAGAGGCTTAAAAGTGCTATGATTGGCCATAAGGCACGTCACGCACACTTTGAAAAAAGCAATTTGGCCTGGCTTCGCGGCCGATGTTCGTTTCTGGGCATATCGCGGAGACACGCGCCACGCCCCCGTTTCACATCTATTCCCTTCTATGATCTGAGCTAACGACTCATCAACAGCCCTTTACAGTCCACTGCTGGACTATGAGCCTCCTCCACTATAGTAGAGGGTTTTGCCATAATCCCCACGCTTGGCAGGCGGGTTGGAGATCGCAGTTTAAAAGATTTATGTTTGTCAGAGAGCGCTGCTGCCCGTTCTCTGTTTGATGTGTAGTCCTTAAGTCGCCTCTTACGACACCCGCGGGAAGAGTAGGGGTTGGTGACAAATGTATTCTACTCTGCCGTCACCACACGGCCGACTAGAGCTAACGACTATCATACCTCAATACCATCGATATACTGGCAAGTTAGAATATTGATAGAAATCGGATAGTCTATCGATAGTAAGCAATATCGTGTGACATCACTAGTAACAAAGCTTTGAACTAACTCCTCGAGCTTTACTACTATAATAAAAAGGAGTCTAGCCCTTGTGCCGTTCGTAATTACATTTTTTGTGGTAATTAAAAGCCCTACAAGAGGTCGGAAGTCCAATAAATACATAATGAACCTACCGAGACAAAGCTGAGTTTTTGTGGTTCTAATTAAAAATAGAATTAGCAATTATTTATTTTCAGAAAAAGAATAACGTACATCATTACCATAATGAGAATCCCGTAAACTCCAAAAATAGACTGTACTTGGGTGTTCACATTAAGTTTGTAGGTACTTTTAAACAATTCCAGGAATTAGATACGTTAAAGGAATATCAATGAGAAGGCAAGTCAATCAGTGATAATAATAACCAAGTTTTAAAAATCTGGGCTCTAAAGCAGTGAAAGTGACACTTATACTAGCTTTTATCAACCCCAGGGGATGGCTGCCAGTTAAAGAATACTTAGTATCTAAAAGGCAGTTCATGAGATGACCGGATGGTCTTACGAGAAAGGATATTCTCTTGACTTGTAAAATTGATCAATTTGCACTATGTTTCTTTAATTTAAGTAGCATCCAACAAAGTACTATGCTCATAGCTGGGCATTAACTCGTTAATCCGTTAATCGTTAATTAACGAAGTTAACATTTCTATTAACGGATTAACTTTTAAGTTAACTTTAAAAATTGTTAACGGACTCGTTAACTTCCGTTAAACTATCCTAAGTCCGTTAATCGTTAATCCAGTACTACTATTTACCAAAAAGATACAGCAGGCACGATGAAAAACGCTAGAAAAACGCGTTCTGACAAGTACGTTCGGGCTTCCAGAACTTCCAGAACCCAAAACAACAGTTTTTGTAACCAGATCACTATTAACGACACTTTAGTAGGTATGTGTGGGACAACTCTTGCAACTGAATTTAAGACTAGTTTTCCTCAACCGATTGATCTGAAAGGACAATGACCAAAAGTGGTCCAAATGTCCACCACTAATTACCTATATTGGCTTATAGTCCATTAAATAGAGATTAACTTTCAGTACGGGACGAAAAAAAATAAGGTGTCATTAAAAAGTTATGACCGTATGAAAAATTGTAGTAGTTTACGCGCTAATCTCAGGAAATACTGGTCCGATTTGAAAAAATATTTTTGTTATGGATAGCCCATTTATCAATGATGGTTTTAGGTTATATTTCATCACCCTACAACCAATAGGGGCGTAGCAGCGACCACCCTACCATAATTCCAATACTGTTGTCTTTCTTCTGAGCTTATTTTTTTTTCTTTTAGCGAGAATCTAACACGGCACACTAAGCGACATAACATAACATCGCACAATGGATAGAATGATATCAAGAACATTTTTCAGATGAAAAGGTAAAAAACATGACTTTTCATTCAGTCATAACTTTCTACCGACAGCATATTTTTGATTGCGGTTTGCTTATAATGAATCAGTATTTAGTAGACTATTTCACTACATAGGTCTTGTTAGTGGTGGACATTTTTACCACACTCCATACATTTTTGGTCATTGTCCTTTGGTATACTTATGTAAGTACGATGACAATGCAATGTTATGGTACAATTGAGCTGGTCTGATGATGGAGTCATGAGGTGGCCATAGGAACTCCTAAATGAAACGGCGGCATCGCATCGAATTTGGGTTCGTTAGATTTGTCTTTTCGAGCACTTTAGTACTAGATGATGTCCAGGGTCCTGATGATGGAGTCTGGAGGTGGCCATAGGAATTCCAAAACGAAACGGTGGAAACTTATCGAGTTTGGGTTCGTTGGATTTGTCTTTTCAAGCACTTTGGTGCTAAATTGTATTGTAATTAAATCAAGGCTCTGAGATTGAGGAGATACTACTAAAAAGTGTAAAATAAAATAATAATTAAAAAACTTTTTTAAAAACAAGCTTTTATTCTGAAATGCAGTTGTACTAAAACGAAAAAAATAATTCTACTTATGCAAGGTTCAAATAATTTCGAAAGCTTGTAGCGCAAACATAAATAAAAGAGGAATAAATTCCATGCGCGATACAAGTAAGCTGTCGAAATTATTTGAACCTTGCATACAATTATTTTTTTTCCTTTTATAATCATGTGTTAACGGATTAACGATTAACGTTAACTTGCGTTAAATCTTGCGAAATGTAACGTTTAACGAAGTTAATTTTTTTATTAACGGTTTAACGATTAACGAAGTTAACTATTTGATTAACGGTGCCCAGCTATGACTATGCTTCTTGCAATTCAATAATAACTTCCACTTCTTTTAGTAGACTTGGCCCTTAAGTGGCTCTTATTGCTTCGAGCTCTCGCGAACAGTTCATGCAACTTAGGCTGGGTTGCACCATCTTATTTTAACTTTGACAAACGTCAAATATCTGTCAAACTCCATACAAAAAGCACCGGTTATCGTCATAGTTATCGTTAAAGTTAGGTGGTGCAACTCAGCCTTAAAGTAATACCGTGTACAGACAACAGCGCAGCGAGCTTGGCAATACGGTTCTCATGTAGTTGTAATAAATCCTATTTCCCTATAAATTAATAGTCTGATGTGCTCTCAACTGTACAAGTTCCAAGAACTTTGAACGTGCCTGCAATCCTGTTGTATTGTAAAGTTTTTTAATAGCATACCGAGTGTCATCGTCTTTTCCAAAAGGACATTCCTTTTTACTAAACTATCATTTTAATTGTCACCATTTTTTGTGGTTATCAAACTGTAGAAATAACTTATCAGGTATAAATTAGTCATTTCAAAATCAAGGCTAAGTTCTAAGTTTAGTTTACCAAGATATTCGTCTTCACACAAGTTTGCTCTCTACTTACTTACTATAGAGTCAGAAAGGAACTTGCAAGTTGTAGAGTTACATAATATATAATAATATATTTTGTAACTCACTGTGCGTCAACTTTAAATTGGAATAGAACTGTAAGTAACAGGGTGGCAGACGACACTTTAATTAAAGGAGAGGTATCTCATGATATATGTGTGCAAATAAATTGAAATGCTTTTGAGTCAATACCGGTGTTAACACACGGAAAATTGCTTTCCTTCCTACATAAATTTAGGGGCATTAAATTTGTTTTGAAGCCGCACTGTGAGTTTAAGGGAGGTGTTTGCTCTGTACCGAGTCGAGTAGGTATACTCTATACCGAGATATCTCGGTTAAAAATCTATACTTAATACTTACTATAGAAAACGACACCGTACTGATACTGCACTATGTCATAGCATAGCATTGCTAAAATCAAGTGGCAGTGGGCGGGGCACATAGCTCGTAGACGTTGGGGCAGAAAAGTTCTCGAATGGCGACCACGGGCCTTAAGACGTAGCGTGGGCAGGCCTCCCACTAGGTGGACCGACGATCTGGTGAAGTTTGAGGGAAGAGCCTGGATGAGGGCAGCGCAGGACCGGTCGTTGTGGACGTCATTTCTTTTTTTTTTCATTTGGCTGAAACGAACGAATGAACGAACTGATACTGTACTGTTTTACCTTTAGAGAGCGCCAATTTATTTAAAGTAGGGTACCTACGGGGCCCAACTCACAATGGGCGTGAACTGGTGAGTGAAAATACGAGTACGATACAATCTGTTCTCCTTTATTAGCATACGTGTTTATCATTAACGTAGTTGACAACGCCAGTGAGTACCTATGCTTTTTATGAGCTGTAAAAACGCGACTCTCCCATAGATTTTACATGGCAAAGGGAACGTTTGTCACCAGGCCGCAAACTGAGCAGTTATTGATCGCAAAGCTACAAAAATCTTGAAAGAAATGAAATGTTATTTAATTATTGGTTAATAGTCTTCAGAACCCAATTAACACAATTCTCATAGCCTAATTGTTCATGCAGAACTAACAACTTACAAAGGTTTGTTCTCGGAAATGTAGCTTCAAACTCAAAGATTTCCCGAAATGTATTCACATCCTTACAGGGTAAGCTTATTATTCATGCAATAAGTCAGAATATTATCTTGAATAGATTCGAACTAGAGTAGCGTTTCACTATTACGGGCCAAACAATGAGAAACTATGATATGTAAGTCAATTTATAATTTCTTAGAATCATCAACTCAACTGTTCACGAGATATGATTTATATAAAGGCACTGTGATATAAGTACTTCCTGACATAAACTAAAGCTCTGTTACGAAGCCTTTAATTAAAATCATCTATGTTATCACTAATTAATGACGATACGTTGCGATTTAATTAAAATAAATATAGGTAAATTTATACATGGTGATTGGGATACTCGACCTATTTATTCCTAGAGATGATTAGTAACAAATTTCGGTGCAGTCCTGTTGTCCCCCCTGGCTAGGGGAGACAACAGGACTAGATTTTTAATCAATGATTTGAGGACTGTTGTCCCCCCTGGCAAACATGATTTAAAAGCCATATATTTTTATAACATAATTTTTGAAATACTGAAGTACTTGACTGAATGCCAAATTGCCAAACTGAATACCTAACCGTTTGTTAAATAATAAGTACCATTTTGATAACGAAAAAAATAAGGTGTTGGTGCCGATACTGACACCTACAAACTTGAAATTTGGCAGGTAGGTTCCTTAAAGAGTGTAGACATCTGCCAAGAACGGATTTTATTTAATTATTTATTTAAGGATATGAAATAATACGAAGAATATAATAGGACGAGCTTTATATATTATAGATTTTACGAAATTCCACACATAAGGGGGTAAAACGGACTCCACGCATACGAAGTCGCGGGCGGCAGCTAGTTGAATCACTGAGCAAGTGTTGAATATTATGATTAATTTAAAATTATGCAGTTTTAGCGTCCTAGCTACTAATATTATAAATGTCAAAGTTTGTGAGTATGGATGTTTAATACTCATTCACGTATTTAAAAACTACTAAACGGATTTTTAGTATACTTTACAGAAGATAATATTTTTTATACATGAGAATAGAATAGCATACCTTTAACTTAGCTTTTGCCCACGGCTTTGTCTGCGTAAAATTATGTCTGTCACAGAAAAAAATATAAGAGCGCCTTCCTGTTTCAAAAACTGGCATAAAAACTATCCCACGTCCTTTCCCGGGACTCAAAACAATCTCTTTACCAAATATCAAAATCGGTTCAATGGTTTAGGCGTGAATTCGTAACAGGCAGACAGATAAAGTTTTTCGCATTTATTTAATACTAGCTGACCCGGCGAACTTTGTTCCGCCTTAATGGCAATAAATAAGCAGACTTTTTTTATTTCGAACGGGATAAAAAGTATCCTATGTCCTTCTCCTGGCTCTAGGGAGGTACCCTGTCAATTTTCAGCTAAATCGGTTCAGCCGTTCTTGAGTTATAAGCGAAGTAACTAACACGACTTTCTTTTATATATATAGATCCCATCAAAAACAATACTTGTCAAAAAAACCAAGTCTCGCAACTCAGTTGTTCTACGGTAAAAAGTTGTGAGATCCATGCAATACCAAGTCCAGGCCAGGAAATCTTTAACGTTTTACATAAATATATTGACTTGGCCATCGCACTAAATAATTTAATTTACACGTGTTTTCATGCGATGGCCAAGTCAATATATTTATGTAAAACGTTAAAGATTTCCTGGCCTGGACTTGGTATTCGGCTGAACCATTTAAAAACCTAGTAAGGGACATGTTTTCAGATTTTCGTTTTTTATCATAAAGCTACATAATATTAAGGTACCTACTGAATACAAAGACAGAAATTGCGATCAAACAACTAGAAGCCTAAAAGGCAAGGGACTCCAAACCTAGTAACTACACCACAAACCCAATTTGACCATTTTAAAAAACCAGTAAGTAACATAAACCATTTCGAAACCTAGTAAGTGCATGAACATACTAGGTTTTATAATGGTCAATGTGCCTTACTGGGAAATGAAAATTCGTGTCCACCCACCTCCCGACCATAAAAAACCTAGCATCACTGGCAACACACTCTGATCAAAGACTTTTGTCTTGAGACACTGCGGTATTTCGGACGTGAGAATATTGCGAAGCTTCCCGAACACTACCCAGCCGAGTTGGATTCGACGATTGACCTCTTTCTCGAAGTTGGACCTACCTAACTGGACTGTTTGTGCTAGGTACCTATACATAATTGTCAACAACTTCGAGTGTAGTGTCTCCAACCTTCAGAGGAGTGGGTACAACACGGGTATTTGACATGATTTTTGTCTTGTCCATGTTTATTTTAAGACCCACTTGTTGAGAGGCTCTACTGAAGCCATCGAGGGTTGTGCTTAGATCCTCCACGGTCTCAGCCATGACTACGATATCGTCCGCTAAACGAAGGTGGGTGATATACTCGCCTTTGATATTTATGCCGAATCCGCTCCAGTCCAGAAGCTTGAAAACATCTTCCAGGGCGGTGGTGAATAATTTCGGACGTAGACATGGCTCAGAAGTGAGATGGGTCTATAGTTTTTAACAAGATATTGTCGTCTTTTGTCTGAAGTTCAGATGCTTAACAAAGAGTTTCTGGATTCTTTCTATGCTGCGGATATATTTATTATACTGAGGAGACCAGATAGGACTTCCGTACTCCAAAATACTGCGACAATATGCAAAATAAACAGTCTTAATGATTTGTATATCTCTAAATGGCTTGCAGATTCTCAAAATGAATCCCAAGTTACGATATGNTAAGTATAGATAGTCTAACACCCAGACCGGTCACAGAAATGTAAATGCATCATTTCAATTTCTGCCCGGCCGAGAATCGAACCCAAGACCTCTCGGAATAGTAGTCCGTTCTGAACCACTACACCAAACGGCATACGAATACATACCTACCCATGACAATTAACAAATTTTATTATTTTTTTCATTAAAACAATTATCTGATGATACAATAATTGATGTGTCCACGTGGGAATGTGTCTGATTGAAAATGTGTCCCGTTGAAATTGTGTCTCGTTGGAACCAAATCGAGCGGATGCCATTTTGGTCCACAAATGTGCAAGTATTGTAAACTGTATACTGTAATAATTTAATATGTTGGGCCAAATAAAATATTTTCTTACTTTCTTTCTTACTAGAAAACTAATTAAAAAATATATGATTAGAACCATTTTTATTAAGATAATTTTACCTGTCGTAGCACAAATTTCTTGATAATCGGATTCTTTAAAATGTTTATAGCATAACCTCGTATTCTTTGAAGCTTTATTTTTTTTTCTCCCATAACTTTATTAATTTCGGATCGTTTGGAAATGTATGTCTTCCATTCTCATTGCACCCTACTATCACACATCGAGGCATTTTTTATTGAAACCAAAAAATAAAACTTTGTAATTCCTCCAAAATGTTTCGTTATGGGTCAGAAATACAGAGCGCAGCCTAGCGGAGGAAAAATGTACTATCCAGTAAACAACTCCATTATTTCGATACGTCAATTAGTTTCCAAGATATTGAATTTTAAAGGTGCGGGCGGCGCCTGGCCCGCCATTTTATGCGCGTGACGTCATAATACTGGCTCAAACTTGTATGGGTGGAACCGTGGAATCTTGCAAGCTGAATTAGACCCACTTCCGGACAACCGATTAAGATGAAATTTCGCATACACATGTCATTTGGATGACCATGCAATATTATGATGACATGGAGCTGATCTGATGATGGAGCTGGAAGGTGGCCATAGGTACTTCGCAATAAAACGACACAATCACATCAAGTTTGGGTTCATTTGAATCGTATTGATAAGGGCTTTGATATAATATAAATCCTGCGTCATAAAAATACTAAAAAGTTAGAAAATTGAAAACAAGAGATGTATGGAGGTGTGCGCTTGTAGCGACGCGACGTGACAATGACTGTCTCTCTCTCTCTCTCTATGTCTCTTTCTCCCGTTCCAATGAATATCAGTCGCGTGCACATAACATTAACATTTGGTAGCAGTTGTTGAAGGCTCTTCGCTTCGACGATGTAGCACATTAAAAATGCAATGGTATGCTTACATCCACCACTGCTGGCGGTACAATCTTCGCAGGATACATACATACACAACTTCTTGATCCTTTTCATTGCATTCTAAACTACAGTGGTATGGTTTGGTACGTACGTACGGTGTGTTTCGGTGTGATTCTACATTTGACCGTACACACATCACCTTCTCGTTTAACTTGTACAGTCGACAGCACGTCAACGTAAACACTGGTATCTTACGTAGTTGCGATAAGGGCGACTTTGCTACAAAAATGTATATCCTGATGTGCTGTCGTCTGTACTTAACCAATAGCGTCATCGCCATAGCTCTCTCTTGCCGATCTGAAAAGTTATAAATACAAAGTTGCATTTTTACGCCTCGCATTTCGACGGCAAAGAAATCGCTGTTTGTCGCTAAATATTGAGCAATCATGAGTCCGTCCACTCTCGGTAGGTTATCGGATTGTCCTTTTTCGAATCCTTCATCCATTTTTTATTAAATACCATACAACACACATCAATAGAACACAAAACACTGCGCTCCCGCTCCCGGTCGTTCAGCTCGAGCCTGAGTCCCGCGACCGTCCGCTCCAGCTCCGCGACCGACGCCGTGTTGGCCTCGTCGCCCTGGTTGGCCTTGAGCTCCAGCGCCTTCATTCGCTCGTCCAGGCTGACGACGTGAGTCCTGCAGCTGTCCACCCTCTCTGACAACTGCAGCAAGCCGTCCCTGAGAGACTTGATCTCGGCTCGCCTGGTTTTCACTTCGTCCCGCATTTCTTCCCTAAATTGGCGAAGCTCGCTCATCATGCTCTGGACGGCTTCGTTTAGCGAGAGCTGGCTGGACGCCGCCAGTCGCCGGAAGTACCCTCTCCTCGATGCTCTGTTCCTCCGCTGTCTGAGTGTCATCATCCAGAGACATCCCCGTCTCGTCCAGACTCTCCGTGCGGGCCGCCGCGGCCGCCCGACGGGTGGTTACTGACTGACCTCCGAGGACTTGACCGGCGTCTCGGTGTTGTCACCCCACTTCCGCTGGCTACAGACGCATTCTGGGCATATCCACCTGCTCTTGTGCTCCGTCATAGTGTTGTAGAATCTGCACTCGAGAATATTTACACACTCTATGTGCCAGTACTGCGCACACCTACAGCATTTCAGGTATCGCCTGTCTGTGATATTGCGGCGGCAACCTGCGCAAGCGGGCATCTTCCCAGTTTTGTTTGTTACGGGTCCCCTTGTTGCCATTTTGAATTTTATTTCAGAAGTAGGAGCAAACTAATCAACAAAATCAAAAAAAGAAACAAAAAAAAAAGTTCGTCTGGATTTGAACTCCTTGAACTCCAATTTCAGTCTCCATTTGAGTCATTTTATGTGTTACGGTTGTCTTAAGATCTTCTACTACTGCTGATATGCCTCGTATTTCTTTCAGGATTTCTTGAAGTGTGGCATCCCGCTTATCTAGTCTCCTCATAACATCTGCACTACACTGAGGATCTGATCTAACCTTCTTTTGACCTCGTCGAAATTCATCCAGAGGTGTTTCAGCACCTCTCTTAGATTGCCTGGTCTCTCTCTTTTCTCTGTACTAAGAGGTTTTATTCCTGTATCAGGAATCTTTTTGAGATCTGATGTGCTGGTTCCTGCGCTTGTAGTCTCCTCGTCATCATCCTCCATGTCGGAAAGGGCACTGCGAGATGTGAATGTGACGGATTTCTCCATCATGGTTTTGCCTGTGTTGATGGTTGAAGTTCTTTTATTTCTAGTTCCTTCGGCCACCTATCTTTTATGTAACTCGTGACCCGACTAAGGATACCCTGCGGGTTTCCTTAACAAAGCAATAAAGAAAGTCAATGTTGATTTGACCAACATTTGCGAATATACAAAAACTGTAAAAACGACTTTACTAAATGATCGGAACGAAAGTCAGTTCGCAATCCTTTTTGAGCAAGCACAGCAGATGAGTTCAAGCGATATAGTTGTGCCAAGAATAACTGGAAGTCAAACCCTGCGCAATAATATTGCAGCAGAAACTGCCGAAATATACTACCGACGAAATGTGTTTTACCCTTTCATTGATCATGTTATTACAGAACTCGACGTTCGTTTTAAACCACATGAATCGACGATCGAAGGAATTCAAATGCTTCTACCTGAAAAAACCAGTAATGACTCAAGGATAAAAGAAAATCTTAAAAAAAGATTGCACAGACATTTTTGGGTGGGGAAAATGAAGGCACAATATTTCTGAGTGAATATGAGATATGGCACAATCACTGGAAATCTGTAGCACAAAAACCTGCAACTGTGATCGACGCTATCGATAACTGCGATGATCAGTTTTTCCCTTTAATCATAACACCGAGATCTGGCGTTGCAACTTGATTCCGAAGAAATTATTAATCAGTTAGCAATAAAACGTAAAAGACTAAATTTATTACTTTTGTGGGGGTGTCAGGTTACATGTACGCGGCGTGCGGCGGGCAGTCGCACGGGGAACGAATATTGTATCGGGCGTGTGTGCCTAATATATTGGGACAAAANATAGACTAGCTGACCCGGCGAACTTTGTTCCGCCTTAATGGCAATAAATAAGCAGACTTTTTTTAATTTAGAACGGGATAAAAAGTATCCTATGTCCTTCTCCTGGCTCTAAACTACCTCCCTGACAATTTTCAGCTAAATCGGTTCAGCCGTTCTTGAGTTATAAGCGAAGTAACTAACACGACTTTCTTTTATATATATAGATATAGATTATTTAGTAGGGATAATTCATAAAGATTTGTTAAAAGCAAGTAAAGCTGATTTTGGAATAGTCAGAAATAGTATTTTCGTTAACAAAATGTTAATTATTATTAATTTGATATACGTTTAGGTATTTAGTTCGGCAATAAGTATGGCATTCAATCAGGTACTCCATTTTCAGTTAATCTTAAAAGTTATAAAAATATATGGCTTCTAAATACTCAATGTTTGCCAGGGGGGACAACAGTCCTCAAATCATTGATTGAAAATCCAGTCCTGTTGTCTCCCCTAGCCAGGGGGGACAACAGGATTTCGAAATCCTGTTGGCTCCCCCAGGGGGGCCAAGCAGGGGGGACAACAGGACTGCACCCAAATTTCGTCTATTAAAAATGTTGAAAAAAAAAGTTTACAGAAAATAAAAAAAAAATACTTAAGACCTTTTATTTCTGAGAATATGTAAGTTTTGACTAAGGCCCGGTTTTTTGAATCGTAGTTAAAATAACCAATGGTCAAATTTGACAGATGTCAAATGACAAGTGGTTAAATATCAGAAAAAAATGTTTTTCGAACAATGGTTAGCTTGACTTTTCGTACATTTTTTAACTATTAGTTAGCATTTTGTTAATATTTAACCATTAGTACCAAAATTTAACAATTTGTTATTTTAACTATGAATCAAAAAACTGGGCCTAAGCGGTTTATTAGAAAAGTTTCAATTTAATATTATGGTGGAGTGGTTATTCACTATCAAAATTCTAAGAACCGTCACACGTCGATAACCATCCAGTTTTGACCCCTTCCTTTGTTTGAAAGTTAAGGTTCACTGGACTTAGTTTGTTACTAATGACTTCTAGTATAACCCCTTTCAAGGAATAGGTCGAGTATCCCAAATTCCCAATCAACCCTGTATAAAGTTGTTTAAATAAACGAGTAACTTAATATTGGCTCATAGCTTAATGTTGTGTTTTACCAACACATATTGATTGACTTAACCTCCTTTAAAATTCACCAAAACAATTTCCAATTTACGATATAGGCCCAAAAGTTACAGGTAAAGGAACAAAATTTAACAGAAGATTGTTTTGATGGCATACTCGAATCTTATACGTTGGTATTAAATAATATCATGAAGCTATTTTCATGTGATTTTTTGAGACGTTGCCACTTTATTAAAACTTACATAAATAAAAAGAAAAAATTGTTCGCTACGAGACTTTTTTCCTTACATTTTCAGTTCAGTAAATACAAACTTCAGATGTTTATTTTAGGAATACGCAAACCCACTCTACATTCAGTATCTACTTCGCTTTGTATAAGAAGCCTGTGACCGCAGCCATAGTAAAAGTATTGTTACCAAAACTTCTTTTAGAATCTTGTTTTAACACAGTTTTTAAAACTTACTTAATTCTATTTGTAGTATCATTGTGTAGCCGAAGCGTGATGTAAAAGTAAGAAAAGTGATGAAGGTACGCAGCTTTTTTTTGCGGAAACTTATTCTCCTTTTGTTTAGAACCTACATTAGGTAGGACAAAACTTTTATACGAGTACAGTATTTCTTTCTTTTCCTCGTAGGTATACTCGTAACTACATAGATAAAGTGTGATGACAAATTGGTCCATTATTTGGATTTTATTGGATTAGAAATAGTCGCCAAGCTAAAGGTCGTGGGTTCATGTCCTGTAACCAATCGATTTTGACCCCGAAGAAAATTAAAGAACCATTACTAAAAATGAGTATTTTTTTAACATCCAATGCTATCTATAGAAACTGGTATAATGCGTTTTGACTGCTGCTTTCCACTTCTGGACACAGGTCTCCCCCAAGGATTTCCCTTGTGGGGGTGTCAGGTTACATGTACGCGGCGTGCGGCGGGCAGTCGCACGGGGAACGAATATTGTATCGGGCGTGTGTGCCTAATATATTGGGACAAAANGATCAAAATGGTGTTATAAGAGTGAAAAGGGATTCCGTGGAGGGTAGTTGAACGGGAAGCATGGTCGATCTGTTTTATTGATTTCAATTTATTATTTAATGGACTTTAGTGTACAAATTTGGTGTACAAAAAAAGTGATAAATTATAAAAAACATTCTTCGAATTTGAGCGCGCATCGAGTGTCGAGTGGGTTGTCGTATGAACAACGCGCTTTGGACCCGGTGGCGTCTCGAAACCTGCTTACGGGCATACTTAACTCCACGTAATCCATGAAAAATCAATAGAACTGAAACACCCACGTTCTATTGATAACTATGTCAATATTTTTCACTCGACATTGGCAGAAATAAACCTCCCAGAGAGGTTTGGTTGCCACAAATAAAAAAATAAAATAAAGAGTGAAAAGGATAGAATATTGTACATTATTTGTAATATCGGATCGGAATGTTGAGGGTAATGGTGTAAATAATGAAATGTAATGGAGGTTTAGCGGTCTAGAATGTCTGCTTGGTTTTAAATCATCATCATCATCATCATTATCATCTCAGCCATAGGACGTCCACTGCTGAACATAGGCCTCCCCCAATGCTTTCCATGTTAGCCGGTTGGTAGCGGCCTGTGCGTCCAGCGCTTTCCTGCTACCTTATGATGTCGTTGGTCCACCTTATGGGTGGACGTCCCACGCTGCGCTTTCCGGTACGTGGCCTCCACTCCAGAACCTTGCTGCCCCATCGGCCGTCAGTTCTGCGTACTATGTGCCCTGCCCATTGCTACTTCGGGTTTTAAATCAATAATCAATATTATTTTTCTTACTCAAGTTACAATCTACTACTTAGAGATACTAATTAATAAAACTACTTTTATTAATCTGAGTGTCTTATGTCCATTTGAATATACAGTTTTATACAGACACCAAGCAAATTAAAATTATTTTAAGAACTAAAGTAATATCTTACAAATAACACAAATTATATTAAAAACCGCTCGTCATAGACCTGCAAACTAATTTAAAGAAAAAATAGAGTACACAAACTTGGAAAAATTCAATTAAAAGTAGCTTTGTCTAGTCGATCCGTGGTTGACTTATGAGAGCTTTTCGAACCTTCGATGTTGTTCGAAGCAAAGATTTATAAGTACACTAGCTTTTGCCCGCGGCTTCACCCGCGTGAAATTTAGTTTGTAACAATGACTTATCGTCATAAATTATAGCCTATACCTATGTTATTCTGGGGTATAAACAATAATACTGTAGTTTCATCAAAATCCGTTCAGTAGTTTTTGCGAGAAAGAGTAACAAACATCCATTCGAACATCCAGACATCCAAACTTTCGCATTTATGATATTAGTAGGAAGATGAGAAATTGAGAATAATCCTACCAAAAACATTTTGATATTATGAAATTTTGTCATATAAACGTGACCATAAGTCTTGGACAAAAAGTAATTAAATCTCATTTAGAGTCAAGCTTTTAACTCTAGACACACTGACTCTACAAGCCCTAACTTCAAAAACTCTGCAACTTGGCAAAAATATGTGATTATGCCCGTTTTTACCATCAATCCCTAATATTTAAGTGACTATGAAAACAAAATCCCTTAATTAGCAGGGGTTGATGGTGAAAACGGGCATTAGCCCTTTCTTTCTACCGTTACTATACAATTTTATAACAGAATAGTAAATACATTTTCTACAATACCACTAATAGGACGACAGCATTATCCATTATTTACCTCATTTAAAAAAAATACTTAATTACAAAGCAAATTCCATAAATAAAAAGACGAAGCAAAAAGTTCATAAGTCGCGATTCTTTAAAAATAAACAAGCAAAGACAAATTAGAAAGAAAAACGTGTGACATTATCATAAAAAATTAGAAACGAACTTCCAAAGCTACGCAATGACGAATGGAAATAATTTCAAGTTGGGAAAATTTCCGATATTCTTCCGGAAAATTTAGCTGCCAATTTACATTATAATAGGAAACACGATTTTTTTACTTACTGACTTTATAAACTTGTATTGGATGTTTTAAAGTTATATCCGGATTGAAATCCATTTTGAAACAAGGATCAAAACTCAAGTTAAACTCAAAAATACATTAAGCTTTCCGGGTAGAATACCAATTTAAAACCAAATACAGGATTGAACTAGTATTTTGAAAAATGTTATTCACATGAGTAGAGGTATTTTCGGTAAACTGACACTACAATGACTCGAACCCACGATCTTTCGCGTTATCTGCTACTACTATCGTTGAGAATTTATTTATTGATTAAATTTATAAGACAAGTTACCAGGGCAAGTTGGTAGACCTAAGTGAAAAACTAGTCCACCATCGCCTAGCACTGGCCAGATTATTACTGAAGCATGACAGATAACGTAGGTAATTATAATGAAAGGGAGACCGAGGAGAGTTGTAACACAGACCATTTCCCTTGTCAGTTTATCGAGCTAGCAACACCGCAAAATTCTATTTCGACACTCCACAGTTTGCGTGAAACTGTCAGCTCGCCAACTATCATAGGTGGAGAGAAATCGGCTTTGACAACACTCCTTGGTCTAGCCTGGTATGTTATCAACATTGATATTACGTTTTAAATGAGAATAATTCGCCAAATCCTTTCAATCCATTTTATCTCAGGCTGCGGGGCCATCAGTCTAATTAGCGGAACCGTTGTTTACAAAGTAAATTATGGGCCCTAATCCTAACATAGTGTTACATTG